GTATAACTATCTTGTCTTTTAATAAAATTTATAGCTTGATTATTCAGAATCTTTTTAACATTTTGAAAAGTGAGATGATAGAAATAAGATTTGCCATTGTAATTCTTTCCCTTGTTCTCACTTCTCAGCACAGGGAATAATGGATGACATAGTTCAACTGAGAATCTATATATATATATATATATAAAGTTTATGCAATTCTATTATGGTGCTGCCACGTCAATAGAAGATATTACCTCTAAATTCACCAATTCTCCACGTCAGCATTGTATTTCTTAATTTTAATTTATAATATTTTCTCTTTTTATATTTTAATTTTTTATGATCATTCATTAATATATTCATTACATAATACAATAGTTTTTGCAAGAATTTAAAAAGTCATTTTTATAAAAGAAAATAAATATTATGTATAAATCTTAAAACCTATTATTTAATAATAATAATATTATACAAAGAATATTGTTTTTTTTCTATAGTATTTTTTGATGAAAAGAGACGAGATTGAATATGACGAGACAAAAAAATAGAATCGGAGAAGAGGGAAATTTTGTTTACTTCTTATGATATTAAGTGACAAGACGAGATCTAAAGGATCTGAATGTGACGGGATTGGACGGGACGAGATGAAAAAGGGCATAATGGGACGGAAAGAGACGGGATAGGAATTTTGCCTAGTGCTAATTATATTCAGAGATGAGACAGAGATAAGATAAAATGGAAATTAACATAATAAAATATGATGGAACTGGATGGGGCGGACAGAACGAACAGTATGGGAAAGAACATGACAAGATAAAAAGGAACAAAATGAGATAGAATTATGTCTACCCGTAATTATATTTAGAGAACAAGACGAGAATAAACAAAATGGAAAGAATATGATGGGATAGGATGAGACTGAACGGGACGGGACATACATGACGAACGGGACGGGAAAGAACGTACATGATGAAAATGAACGAAATAGGACGAGATGGAACAAGATGATACAAAAGTTTTGCCTAAGTAATGTGTGTATAATATCTTTGAAACAATATTAAATTTGCGGAAAAACAATAAAATTAACATAATCCGAGCGTAGCGCGAGTCACCCCCTAATAAATAAATGAAAATTTAAAACAGTTTAGTAAAGCAAGTCTAATTAAGGTAACAATGAGAAAGAGAAAAACTCGCTTATGCACAATATCAACATGTTTAGCCAGCGTAGTTGTGTTTGTTTTTATAAATAGACATACATAAATCATCTTTCCCTAATTATGTATTTCCTGTTTTTTTAATTGTCTTTGACGTTTGTTTTTCTAAACCTGGTTAATTTTCTCAATGAATATATGTAACTTTTTCATTAGTTAGTATGACAATATTAAAATCTTCTTCTAAAAGGACAATTTAATTTTTTCTTCTAAGTGAGTTATAGTTGTGGTTAGGTACTTAAGTGGGAAGATAAGAAGATTGTATTTGCCAAATTAACTAGAAACTAACTGTCTTGCACATTACAATGTGAAAAATAAAAACGTTCATGATCCCACTTACGGACAGCTAGAAACTGACTGGATCCATGTTCGAATCGTTTTCACAGCAATATACAAGACAATCAAGTTTCATAAGTTAAATCCGGCATTGTAAAATCTTCTTCTAAAAGGATTGAATTCATACTATATCATCTACCACAATCTAAATTTTTCCTCTAAGTGGTTTGTGGTTGTAGTTATGGTTATGAACTTAGGTGGGAAGACTAAAATTTTATTTGCCAAATTAACTAGAAACTAATTATCTTGCACATTATGATGTGAAAAAACAAAAATGTTCATGATCCCACTTACGGACAGTTAGAAACTGACTGGATCCATGTTCAAATCTTTTTCACAACAATCTATGCAAAACAATCAAGTTTCATAAGTTAAATCTGGCATGCTAAAATCTTCTTCTAATAGGCTTTGATTGATAACACATCTACTAGATGTCTATGTATATCTATTTGATACCTAACCTAAATAGATTATAGACAAACTAAGCTCAATCAAATTCTCGTCGACCACTCCAGTACCTAATCTATATAGATTAGAGACAAACTAACCTCAATCAAATTCTCGTCGACCTCTCCGATAATATGACTATTCACCTACAAAAATAGAATTGGTGTAGTAAATGTTTGATCAGACACATAGCCAGGTCAAATATTTGGTTAGTTACATAACATATAAACGAAGAGCTACTCTGTGCCATGGAAAAAGAAGGAGGAGGAGTAACAAGAGCAAAACAGATGAGTCAAGACCAAATACTTACGTTGTCGTCGACTTTCAATCCATTGGCCGTTACGACGTCATTCCATCCACAAGTCAAAGCATAGTTTTAACTCCCATCTTTCCAACATGCCACCATATTTCACGTTCTGTTCGTTCATCCACGAGAATCGCTCCAAGTCGTCTCTTTGTGATTCACAACTCGGCAGGTGTCAAGAAGTCTTTACAGATGAAAAGAAAAACAGCAAAGGAAAAGCATTAGAGAACCACTCAAAGAAATCACCAGAAACAAAAAAAAAAAAACAAGAGAGCTTTACATAACCTTATGCAATCTATGAGCATTGTTAGAGTATCTGTGATGTCGTACGTACCTCCTTTAACTCTCCGGAACCCAGGAATTGGCTGAGCTGCAGCTACCATTTTATCAAATCAATGACTGAATACTGTTTGAGTCTTCTCTTGCACTCAGCCAAAAAGGAACATAAGCAACAAATTAAGTGATTCACACAGTGAGTAGATGTCATAATTCATGCTTGTTACCAGTATCAGCGCAGAAACAAGAGCGTACCTTAACTTCGTTGTTGTTTAGGGTGGTAATCAGAACTGATTCATCCTTAGAAGAAGTCTCCACATCTGCAACGACAATCACATTTTCAATGAAAACAAGAAGAATTATTATCAATTATCCAAGAAAAAAACTAGAGCTGGAGTAAAGCAATCAAATATGGTCCAAAGACTCCACTAAACACATCAAAGTTTCAGTAGTCAATTTTAGACTTAAGATATTGTTTGCTCTTGAACAAGCTTATGCTTCAACTTTAGGTTATAATGGAAAAAACAGAGCACAAACCCACAAGTAATGGCTAATATGGTTATCTGTTTGGGGGCAATTTTGTTACATTGTTAACGTTGCTATCTTGCGCCGCACGTCTCTTGCGGCTTTTCTTCTCTGCTAAGCACCAAGACAGAGACGATTGTGGATTAGGGTTTCGTGGGTTTTCTATCTTCTCGTACTTAGCCGCGATCTTGTAATCTTCGAGAAACGATGAGGAAGAACAAGCGAAATTAGGGCTTTTGTGGGTTTTTCATCTCGGAATGACCAGCCACGATTATGTAGAAGAAACGATGAAGAAGAAGTAGAAGTACCCATTTAGATTCTGTTGTGGGTTTTTCTCGGGAAACGATGGAAGATCCTCTTGTAGATTTCTTCTTCTTCGTCTTCTTTTGCAGAGAGAGTCATCGTCGTCTTGAATTTTCCTTTACGATGTTGTTCTTCTTCGTAACAAAGCCTAACGGCGGCATTAACCAAACAACAGAAATCACGAGCGGTAACGTCCTTCTCCGCAAAAACTTAGAGAGAGAGAGAGAGAGAATTAGAAAAAGGGGAAAATTTTGAGAATGAGCGAAAGTAAAGAAAGAAAATGCCCTCTCTCACGTTATATAGCGAAGCCTCTGTTAATTTTTGTTTTTTCTCCGTTGGTTGTTTACTTGTTTAGGAGTTTATCCAGTGTGATTAGTCACTAACTATCTTGCTTAGTTGCTTCTTGTAACGGTCGAAAAGCTAACATTATTAATTACCAATTAACCCTTTCTTAAACCAAAACAAAGAAAAGCCAGAAGATATGTATAGGATTATAGAGTATTTGAGAAAGTAAGTACATATGGTTTGTAATTCTAGATTGAATTTCACTATCAATCAAGCAAAGCTTTATATAAAATAATCTCAATTTGTTCCCACAAGAATTAGTTTCTCTCATGTTGCAGAAGTGAGTAAACTTGATGACCTTAACTATGAGGAAAAGCACGACGCTGTTCCTTCTTTTGTCATTGATGACTCTAAGATGGTAACTAATAGAAGTTGTGGTTTTGTATTTGGAGTTTGACTTGTTGTATCTGAATGAGGAAGATCCAGACTTTCATTAGTCTTTTGGGAATTTGATGAGTATTGACAGAACACAGCCGATGAGTTTCTTTAGTGTGTTTGGATCCATGTGTTTAAGCTTCGTGGTGTTACTCTAAACTCTTTCATTAGATTCTTGTTTGGATCTTGATTTAACTTAGTATTGCAAACTCCTCATAGTGTGTTTTGCAGCTTGTAAACATGTCTCTCTTTAGTTTAACACATATGCTTTGTTCACTTGTCTGCTTCTTGTTTGGATCTTGATTTTTAACTTACCATTGCATACTCTTAGTTGTGTGTTTCCAGTCTGTAACCATGTTGTATGGATGATTGGAATGAGCCGCTTGCTTCTGATGAACATGATTCGGTGGTTTGCACATACCGTGATGCCAATGTGAATGCATTTTACCAGACAAGACTTTTTTGTGTGAATATATAAAAGGGCTGAATGCGATTTGATTTGGATACATGACACTGTAAGGAAAACATTGCCAATATTTACTCCTTTTGATTGTTGGCATGCAATTACTAATGAGTAGATGAAGAAATCATTTACAAGAAGTATAATAACCACACCAATCTTAAATTCTTATCCTATATGACTCAAAATCCACCCACAAATTTCAATTTAGCAATTCGGTGTCACTGATGAAAAAACTCACAAATGAGTGATCAAAGTTCAAAACTTTTTTCCCTTTTAACACAATCTACAATATAAAGGTTTGATACAGAGTAAAAAATTATCATTGATCCACACGTACATTCATTCTCACAGAGAAAAAAAAAAAAAAAAAAAAAGAGACAAATTGAAATCACAAAAAAAAAGAAAAGAACAGAAAAAAAAAATCATCATGTCTTTACGAACTGTTAGTGTGACTCTGACTGTTATCTTCACTCCCACGAAGCTCTCTCAACGAAGCAACCACTTGTAACATATTAGGCCGCTTTGACGGGAAATCGTCAACGCACCGTAACGCTACCTCCAAATACCTCAACATCTCCTTCACAACCACCCCTCCGAAACCTTCTCTCTCACTCAGAGACTCCGAACCTTCTTCCACACGCAAAAGCTCTTCATCGATCACTTCCATATGTTTCCCTTCCCTCGCCTTCATCTTCGACCAACCAACCAAATTCGTATCCCCAAACTCATCTTTATCAGTCGGTCTCTTCCCGCTCAAAATCTCCAGCATCACAACTCCGATCGAGTACACGTCACCTTTCGCCGTACACCTAAAACTCTGGTAATACTCCGGCGGCACGTAACCTGGAGTGCCCGCCAAGGTACTCACACTCAGATGCGTGTCCAACGCGCTAATCAGCCTCGCCATCCCGAAATCCGAAACCCTAGCTTCCATGTCCTCATCGAGAAGGACATTGCTCGACTTCATGTCCCGGTGGATTATATGAGGGATACAATTGTGATGCAAGAAACAAAGCCCTTTCCCTGCTCCTTTCGCAATCTTCTTCCTCTCTTCCCAGCTCAAAACCCTCCTTTTCTCTCCCGTTCTTGGCCCGTGAAGCACCTCCTCGAGGCTCCCGTACCGCATGAACTCGTAGACGAGCAGTCTCTCTTCTCCGATCTTGCAATACCCCAAAAGCGGCACGAGGTTTCGGTGTTTGATCTTCCCTAGGGTTTCCATCTCCGCCATGAACTCTCTATCCCCTTGGCAGCTTAACCTAATCAGTTTCTTGATCGCCACGGAAGATCCGTCTTTCAGCGTCGCCTTGAAAACCTCTCCGAACCCGCCGTGCCCGATCATGCTCGCCGCCGAGAACCCGTTCGTGGCCTCGATGAGCTGCGAGAACTTGAGCTTCCTCAGCTGCCGCTGAAACGTGGCCACGTTGATGCTCAACGGCTCTTTCTCCTTCTCGATCTTCCAAGTCGTCGCGGAGTTAACCGCCTGCAAGCTGTGAAGCATCTTCGCGTCGTCCGCGTCTCTCTTCCTCGCGCGAACCGCGATCGCCCAAACGATCAATATGCAAACCGACGCGGCGGAGATCAAAACCCCTAAGACAATGCTGTTGGCCCAAGAAGCTGCTTTGTTTCCGTGCTTTGCACGTTTCCCTTCTTCTGGTTCTCCTGCGGGAAGCTGATTGTTCCCGTTTTTACATTCCGGTAACGGAACACCGCAAAGTCCCGGATTATTCGCGTACTGGGTTGCCGGAAGCGTGCTAAGCTGACCTCTCTGAGGAATCGGTCCGGTTAACTCGTTATTCGAGAGATCAATCTGCACCAAGAAAGACAAATTCGAGAAAGATTCAGGGATTTGACCCTGGAGCCGGTTATCCGACGCGTCGAAGACGCCGAGGTTCTTGAGCTGACCGATCGTGAACGGAATCTCGCCGGAGAGTTGGTTATGAGAAAGCTCGAGGACCTGAAGAGCGATCATTTCTCCGATTTCGTCTGGGATTTTGCCTCGGAGCTGATTGTAAGAGAGATCGAGATACTCGATGGTTTGGTATCTCGTGAAGAGACTCAGGATCGGACCGGAGTACATTCTCGTGAAATCGCAGCTTTTGAGCGACGGAATCTGAAGAAGCCTCTCCGGTCTGATCCCGGAGAATTCCACCAGTCCTCCTACGCCTTTGCAGGAGTTTCCGACGTTTCTAACGAAGGCCATTGTGTTGCCAGAGAGTAAACCGGAAAGAGCTTTCGAACCGGGTTGACGACCTAACCGGGGTGGGATTTCTCCGGTTAAGTGGTTCGTGTTGAGATCGAGCCAGACGAGCGTCGTGCATTTCCCGAGCTCCGGAGGGATCTCTCCGGTGAAATTGTTGTTTCCGAGCTGAAGAACGGCTAACCGGGAGAGGATCCCGAAATCTCGAGGGACCTGTCCGGTTAATCTGTTGCTCGTGAAGGAGATCCACTCGATGTTGCTGCAATTGAAGAACTCCGGCGGGATTTCTCCGGTGAGTTGGTTGTTGTTGAGGATTAAATCTTTGAGGTTCTGTAACTTTCCGATCTCAGGCGGGATGTTGCCGGCGAAGTTGTTGTACCAGGCGATGAATTGCTCGAGCTTCTGGAGGTTTCCGATCTCCGGTGGGATTGTGCCGTTGAGGTAATTGAGACTGAAATCAATCGTTCGAAGCTCCGAGCACTGGGATATCGTCGGCGGAATCTCTCCGGTGACGAGATTATCCGGGATTCTTAACTCCTCTAAAGAAGCTGCTCCGGGACATAAATCCGGCGGAATCACGCCGGAGAATCGATTGGAGCTGAAGTCGACGATTCTCAGGCTTTTGCAGGCGGAGATCGAAGTCGGAAAATCTCCGGAAATGAAATTGTTGCTGAGGAGGAGGATTTGAAGAGATCCAAAGCTCCGGAGGATAGTGTTTGGGAACGGACCTGAGATGTTGTTGTTGGAGAGGTCAAGAATCTGTAGCAAAGAGCAAGAAGACAAGGAATCAGGGATCACGCCGGTGACGTTGTTGTAAGAAAGCCGGAGGTTTTGTAACGACCCGCAAGCGTCTCCGATCTCCGGCGGGATCCAACCGGTGAGTCGGTTATGAGAAAGATCCAAACTTTGTAAGCTTTTTAGGTCGCCGAAGGATTTTGGAATCTGCCCATCGAAGTTGTTGTAAGAAAGGTTTAAGCTTTTGAGGTTGGTGCAGTTGATAAGCGAGTCCGGGATATGGCCGGAGATACTGTTCCCGGAGAAGTCGAGAAACGACAAGGAGACGCAAGAAGAGAGAGGAACGGTTAAACCGGAGATCGAGCCGGTTATGTTGTTGTAAGAGAGATCAAGGGTTTGGAGTTTCTTGCTGTCCAAGAAAATATCTTCCGGTAATTTTCCGGTGAAGTTATTGTAAGAGAGAGTGATGGAGATTAGATTTGAGTGTTTGGAGAAGAAGTTTTCAGGGAGGATTCCGATTAAACCGGAGGAAGAGAGCTCGAGGTGGGTGAGGGACAAGGGAAGGAGAAGAAGAGAGGTTGAGTTTAAAACGAAGAAGTTTTCAGAGAGTTTGAGAACAGAGAGAGAATCGAGAGAGGTAAAAGCGTTGAAGGAGACGGTTCCGGAGAGACCACTGCCGGAGAGATTAATCTCGGAGACTCTTCCGGCGAGACAAGTGACGCCGGAAAATCGACAAGGGGATTTTCGAGGGTTCCAGTTTGAGAGGATGTTGTTTGGATCGTCTTGGATCATTGATTTGAAAGAAAGGAGAGATAATGCATCGGTTTTGGTTGAGGAAGAAGAAGAAGAAGATAGAGAGAAATGGGTAAGGAGGAAGACGAAGGAGATTTGGATTTGGATCCGAGTGTGGATCCGTACCCGGTTTGGTGAGTTAGTCATTGGAGGGAGAGGTTTTGGAGTTTGAATTGAGAAGGAGACGTAAGTAAGTGTGAAGAGTTTAAGATGATAAAGACTTTTCATTTCTTGGGCGATGCTAAAGCAGAGCAAGAGGAAGAAAAAGGGCTTTTTTGAAGAAAAGAAAAGCTGCTTTTGTTTTATTTAATTTGTATTTATTTATCATCATTGATGCTTATCAATTGTGAGACTATGGGACCCAAATTAATCATAGCATGCATCGGAGATGAAATGTTTTTTTAGTAAAAACTTGTAATTGTTTGATCCAAGGTTCACTGTCGAGGCTGAGGCGTGGGGGAATGAACAGAGAGATGTAACTTTACAAATTACAGTAGCAAACTTTATGGTGTAACCATTATGTTGCTCACTTATTAGGACATTCTTATATGCCATGAATGTAGCCTTTATATCATGTTCCAAGTCACACACTCCATCCTTTTCATCATTACATTGCTATCTACTATCTCCCATCAAATTTTATGTGTAGACTGTATATATATTAAGCAAAATATTAGCTTAAATTATTGATTTCCACCTACCTATATCAATAAATATTAGCTTAAGTAATGGACACAAGAAAATACTGTCTATAGTTCAAATTTTAATTATTTCAATTGGTTGTTATTACTCTAGCTACCATTCCATTGCACAAAAGACCATTTCCCTAAGATTAGTAGTTTCTAGTAAGCAATATTCTTTAAAACTTGTTTCCATTACAATTAGTATAGTGCAAATCTTATCACCTAGTGTGGTTGTATATATAATAATATTGCACACTACTGGTGACTATACAGTATATTTGATTGATTCTGTTAAATAAACAAAGAAAAAGGACCGAATAGTGGAGAGCAGCAGTAGGGAAAAAGGCCCACAAAAGAAACAACATCAATTAGCTCGTGGTTTAGTGGCATGAGAGGTTATGATTCTTCCTTTGCCCCCCAAGAATATTTTTAAAACATTTCTTTACTCATTTCTCTCTTTTCACTACCACTAATCACTAATCCTTATATGTGTGTGTGTGTGTGTGTTTTATATGAATTTTGTTCAATATTTTCTGTTGACGAATAGTGTAGTGTATTTGACCACTGTGGCTAATTTTTTTTTTTTATGACTGTATATTTCTTTTCTAAATGGACTAAAAATTTAATTATTTTTTTGAGTTATTTTCAATTAGATGTAGAACTAGTTATATATCAAAGTCGAGCTTCGTTGTATACATAACATAACTATTAATACATGTATGCAAACGCAGAGAAGTCATCATTTGTATATGCATCATTATGTATACATAATATTCTATACACACACGACCAAAAGTACTAATTTCTCTTTAAAAATATCCTGTATTGACTATATCTTAACTCTTAAGAGGCGCATTTACACGTCAACCTATGATATAAAACTGAACGATATGCTAGTAACAACTAACAAGAATCATGAAAAGAAAAAGGAAAAAGAATGCATGAAAAAATAACCTTGCGATTTGCGAATGGATCATGCATGAAATGTGTAACCTTCGTAATAGTGTAATTACAGTAATAGGCGCATTTATATTGTTAAAATAATACAAGGTTTAACGTTCGTAATGTGTGATAGAGTCAGAAATAAAATATAAGAACAAGAAACATATTGGATATTGTGATATATAAAAATATCCGATTAATATAAATCGTATAGCACTCCATTTCGATCATACTTGTAAGTTTTTTTTTCATTCTCTGTCTAGAGGGCTTATGAGTTTTGACTTATGACCATTTTTAAGCTCTGTACATATGGAAGTTCCAGCGCAAGCTAATTTGAGGATGAGACTTCAAGAATTTGAGACTACCACTAAACCAAATCAACTCAGAAATCAGAATTACTGGCATTTAATTAGTTTATAATTTAGATGTAGTGGAGGACTCTTTTTCACCTTTCAAATGTGTAAAAGTCAATGGTCAACCACGCATGACTTGGAGTTCAAATGATTAAAAAACTATTTGAAGAATCAAATGTTATTCGAAATCATAGATTCGGCTTGATAATAATTGGATAATATCTTTCGGAATGGGGAGACATAATGATAATATATATGATGTGCACTTATGTCAAAAATCAAAGAAATATTTGTGCAACGAAAACAATGAGACAACGTTAATTCAGGCTAGTATGTTTAAACTTAAATCAATAGTGGGATGATCTAATAAGTAATAACATGATCTTAGAAGTAGGAATAATACATTTTTTTTAGATATATTATATATACCGGAATCAGTTTTCTATATATACCGGAATCAGTTTTTGAGAAACGTAAGAACTTGAAAACATTATGAATGTAAAAGCAAAATAACACTTTTAAATACTGAAAGCGCGAACAATATACTATGCTATTGTTGAAAACTTCGATTGAGTAATTTTTAGTAAATGCAAAGAACATTCAGGTTATTCTAATCCAGTTATACTAACCTGAGATTTTGAGATCAAATGACTAACTACTATCTAAATATCTAATCACCATGAAAAAAGTGGCCAACATAAATCAGTTTAAAACTATGTTGATGATCATCAAATATCACGACAATCACTGATTTACCTATCACCTGAACCTACAGTTCTGTACAGTTAAGTACTTAACCACACAAACTTAACACCACGATTATGTTTTTCAGATTATCTACAAGACTACAACTAAAAATGGGTGAAAGAAGGAGAAACGCTTTAAAAAAAAAAAAAAAGAAGGAGAAACGCGTGGAAATATATGCATCTCATGAGGATGAGAAAATATTTAAGTATTTTTCTGTATTTGTTTTTTTCTTTTCTAATTTCTACTGTTATTTTGTCGGCTTAATATTTCTACTTAATCCCGTTGAAAAGTAAAAAAGAGGCTCAAGAGTCGAGAGGGACCAAAGATGTCGTGTGTGGCACGCGTTTCTTTTTCTTGTTCTTTTTTAACTGTGTTCAAATGATTGGTGAGTACTCTGTTTCTGTTTCCCGTTAAATCCTTGTCAAAACATTCAGCTTTTTAACTTTTCTTACTAAACAGTAAAATATCTCTCCCTCTTTTACAAACGTGACATTTATTTTTAGCCGCTCCGTCCAGTTATGTGGTTTCGTGATTTGTATCCACTCCACTGTTAATCGGATATCCTTGAAATTCAAATATTTTACCGGATATCCGATCCGCTCAGTAAATATTTTTTAAAATCAGAAAATCAACTTTTAACATAAAAGAACATATTTTATAATTTTTAAAAATTAATTATTTGTTTTTTTCTTTAATTTTAGTGTTTAAATAATCAATTTGATGAATATAAAATTTATATATAGATATATATATATATATATAACGGAGCGGATCGGATATCCGACTTTTAAAATTTTAGTATTTGTAGTTTGCTCCGGTTTTAATGAATATTGATTTTTAGTATTTGCTTTGCTTTGTAAAGTTACAGTTATTCGGATTTTTCGAATCGGAATAGATAATGGATCGAAGCAAATATAACGGATAATATGCCTAAGCCTATTTATTTTTACCATGCCAGTGCCACGCAAGCTGTATTATTTTGAAAGTTTGACTTTTATATAGCTGTTATATTTCAATTTCTAGATTTGGAAAATACCAAGTAGGTGTTATTGAATAGTGTATTTCAATGGATTTTAAATGAAACTGAAAACAAGCGTTATTCAATTATGTATTTGGAAAAATAGGTTAAAAACAGGTGTTATTGGATTGAGTATTTGGTTTTGTAATTTGATAGACAATGAAAACAAGTGTTATTCGATGTAGGCTTGATTTCAAGGGATTTAGATTTGATTGGATTTATAGGTATTATTTTGACTAAAACGTGAGTAAAACAAACACCATAGTTTCTACTCGGATTTGAGAATCCAGAAAAGTTTTCAATCGGCAAAAACTATCAAGGACAGATACCCATCTCTTTTGGCTTCAATTCGCCCAATTCTCCTCGTCTTCATCATCATCTTCTTCACCATCATCGTCTCCGACACAATCAGATCAGAACCACCGCTTCTTTTTACAACGGCTACTCGAATATCTACGTCGAATTCGATTTGAGATTCAAAAAATTTATCATTGCTATTGGGTTGTGATTGGTTATATAAAGAATTATGTATCTTCCGGTAGATGGAGAAGGCGTCGTCTGTGAGAATTTGTTGCCGAAGAGGAAGAGGAGGAAGCGCATGTGCAGAAGAACATTGTATCAGTGTCATTCGCGGAGCTTTATCTTATTATCGACAACAAGCTTATGGTCTCACAAGGAGTCAAGGATGATGCGATGAAGAAGATCTGATAATATTCCGATTGATTTTAATTTCATTCTGAGGAAGGTTCAACACAATTTTTTTGCTATTTCTCTTCCTTCGTCAAAATTAGTTCTGGAAAACGTTTTGGAAATCCCTAGAAATCAATCAAAACACGTAACATTAATTCATTAAAATCCACTAAAACTCACCGTTGATTTTGTGAATTCATTAAAACCCCAACAAAACACATCTAAATCCAAATACATTAAAATCCCTTTAAACACCCAATCCAATAACAGGCCCCAAGAAATTGTCAGTGATAAGGTGAGAATTGAGAACCATGGATTATGTCAATTTTTTCACATACTTTTAGATGATTCGGGGCAGCATTTCAAGATTATAAAATACAACGGAACCCCAATAAAGTAATGTTCGATACATTAATAACTTTATATGATCTCAAGTTGGACCACTTTGGCGACGGATCTTGAATACATAAAAAAAAAATGGAATCATTAATCTGTTCAATTAGTACGACTCAAGAATGAAACTCTGGTAAGAACACAATTAGTACAAGAACTGACGAAAATGGGCCCAAAACTAGCGGGCCTGTTTTGTAAAATAAGCCCGTTTAGACCCGATTATTACTTTTTTGTTTGTTTTTTTTTTTTTTCATCTCCCGAGTATTACTTTTCTTTAAACGGAAAAACGGCAACAAATGTTGCGTTTAGGGTTTATCACTCCTGAGACTGAGAGTTGCTGAATCAGTGAAGAGTGACGCCGTTTGAGGAGAAACAACGATTTCTGATTTCTGAGGTAACCATTCGTAATTTCGAAGTCTGGGAACCAGTTTCTGATTTGGATTTCTAGGGTTTTGGCTCTGAATTGATGATTCGAGTTTATGATCTCCCCATCTGATGAATCTTTGTTTGCAAATTTACAAATTCACAGGCGATGAAGCTCCGCAATCTTCCAAGTGAGATAGAAGAGGAGATACTCTCTAGGGTTCCGATCAAATCGTTGAGACTCTTACGATCCACTGGCAACCGTTGGTACCATCACCCTCTGTTCAAAGATCCGAGATTCATCAAAAGGTACTCCGATAGAACTCCGAGGAAGTATCACAAGGAAATCGTGTTGAGTGAGTTTAGGATTCGGTCTCTGAGCTCATACGTCGATCGTCGCCGTATAAACCCTTGTCGGTTTCTTCTCATCGATCCCGTCAGTAACGAAAAGGTCGACATAGCTCACGCTTTTCACTGCGATGGCGTTTTGTTATGCACCAACACCGAGGACAAGCGGTTTGTGGCTTGGAAGCCTTTCTCGGGGCAAACCAGATGGATCCAGCCGAGGGAGAATGGCATCATGAGCAGCTTCGCTCTTGGTTACGATAACAAGGAGTTGTGCCGTAGCTACAAGATCTTGAGGTCTCTGGAGGATCAAACGATGGAGATTTACGAGTTTAAGTCTGACTCATGGAGGAATCTTGATGACGTCTCTCCCGGTGGAAGCTTTGAGTCTCTCGGCGTGTCTTTGAAAGGGAATGCTTACTGGATCTCGAGAAGAGGAGGAGAAAGAGTACTCGCTGCTCGAGTTTGACTTCTCAACTGAGAGGTTTCAGAATCACTACCTTCCCTTCCACGAAGCAGGTGTTTGGGTCCTTATTGTTCTCAAAGAAGGTTTGAACAATCTGGCTCTCTCGGTTGTGAAGGAAGACCGTCTCTGTTTGTTCTATGAGAGTGCAACGAAATCAAAGACGGAGATATGGATGAGTAGTGAGATTGGTGAGACCTCCGCGTCTGTGTCTTGGTTCAAGTACTTGGCAGAGGATGCGTCGTCGTTTTTCACGAGGCAGGTGAGTTTCTACGTTGACGATGAGGATAAACTTGCCTACTGCTTTTATAATCACGAACGAGGACAAGGTCTTGCCAAGCTAAGGATTTTGGGAGATGCTCCACCGAAAAACAAGTCCTTGCAAACACAAGATGTCAAGTATTTAGGTTGGCACCCTAGCAAGCAAATGTGGTCCTATTGTGTTTGGTTATCTTCCATGGTCGTCGAAGGAGGAGTAATATTCAGCAATGCTTTGTAGTTTATTGCGTAGTCTGTTTAGAATATGCTTTTAGTTTGGTAATGGAACTGTGAGTCTTGTAGATTCCTTCTATGTAATGTGAGACTATGGTTGTGGTTTAATTGTATGCACCTAATTTTAGAGACGATGATTAAGAACAACGATTTGCTAGCTGAGACAATGATATCTTTTTTCACTGACGATTTCTTGCGTTCTAACTCAATACTGTCCGATCAATCATATTTGTTCTGTGCGCCAAACGATATCAGCTTGAGGCTTGTAGGCAGGCCTTTTATAGTTATATCCAAGAAAAAGACCAAAGAGAATAAAAGGATTTTCGGTATTTTCTTATAGCTAGAATATATATATATAAGAAGTAAAAGATACAATGTAAAATTAAATTAATTACCCAAAAAAAGAGAGAAATCACTATAGTTGTTTAAGCAGAGTAAAGAGAGCGACTCACCTAAACAGCACAAAGTTTCACAGAAACATTAAAAATGTAGAGGAAAAAAACTTAAGCACTTACCGTAAAACAGCCCTAAAGAAAAATCAAAACCTTAAAAAAGCCATTTGATATTTGGTGTCTGGCTTTATCTACCTACACGACGGATCTCTTTTTCTTCTTCTTCTTCGTTCTACCAAAAATCTTTTCGAGGGAGAGTGATTTGGTAGCAACAAAGTTTACTCGCATTTAATCGACCGGTAAATGTGGCGGACAAAGAGAAGTGCAGCGCGGAAGCCAACGGTCCCGAGCATGAGGAAGAAACCGTAACAAATGCAAGCCATGTATCCGAAGAAGAACGAGGTTTGCATGAAACCTGACATGTCCGATCTCGCGTAGTAATAGTATAAGCAGTACGCGTAGATGAACAAACCAGTCGATCCACCGCATAGGAACGATCTGCAACCATAGCAATCACTTAAACCCACAAAGCTTCATCACAAAATCTAAAATCCAAATTTCAGAATCGAAAAACGTACCTCCACCACCATTCGTGATCTTCAGCAGCGAGCTGGAAGTAAGTAAGAGCAACGGTTATAAAAGCGGTAACGATCAAGAGGATGATGAAGACGATGAAGAGGATGCTGTAAATGGTGTAGATCCGATGGCCCCAGACACTGGCAAAGATGTAATACAGCTCGATGTAGATGGCGCTGAAAGGAAGAAAACCAGCCATGGCCATCTGAGGTATAGCGCTCCTGTACCACGGGAGTGACGGGATCTCCCTGGGATACTTTGTGGTGCGGACTGGAGCTTGGAACTCCGCTTTGCTGTTTTTACCGGCGATACCACCCAATACGAGCAGAGGCGAAGTTACTAGCGTCCATATGAGGACGATGACGACGATGGTTCCGAAGGGAAGAGCGGCGGTTGCACTGTAGGCGATTGCGACGGTGTTTAGGAAGCAGAATGTGAGGAATAGTGGGCCACAGAAGAGACCTCCAGTGAGCAACAGATTTCTCACCTGAGAAAAGCAAATGAGAGAACTTTTCATTATTGCTTTCTGTTTAAAAAAGGAATTGTTTCAGGTTTAGAGTTTTACATACCCAGTTCTTGCCTTCGAGTTGGCAGTAGAAAGAGGAGGCGGTGTATCCGGCGATTCCAGATGTGAGAGCGTAGATGACGACTAAAGCGGTGAAGAGTGCTCCTCGGTTGTATGGATAGAAGACTCCAACAAGTGAAAGCATGAAAATGAATATAGTGCTGATGACATACGAGGGAAATTATAGTTAGTAATGCGAAAGAAGAAGTACATTTATATATGCGAGGGGAGAAGCGAGAAGAGACTTACAGAGTGAACAGTTGGGTACCACTACCGAGAGATGCAGCGAAGAGAGATTTGTGCTTTGGGAACCTGAACACATCTCCGTGAATGTACTTCCATCCAGTTTCCTCTTGGTCATCAGCAGCTTCCTCGTCTTGAGCATACCTTTTAAGGATGGGAAAAAAAAGAGTTTATAATCGGAAAAAAAGAAATGTGCTTCTTTGAGTTGAGCGTGAAGAATAGCATTCAAAACTTACTTCATGAAATCATTCTTGAGGACTCGCATCAAGATGGTAGCAAGGAAACCGGTCAAAAGGAGGACAGTGACGCAGGAATTTATAATGGAGAACCAGTGGATTTCCAAATGATGCGGGAGAGAAGAAGACATGGCATACTTGTCCATTCTTTTCTCAAAACTCGTCTCCGTTTCCTTCCACTTCACAGTGTACATAAACTCCGCATCGACTTCCTTGTCCTCAGTGAGATCCACAAGCGAATGAGGATCCATTCTCGCATTGATTTCGATCACACGGTCCTTGTTGTACAAAATCTCAAACTGGATGTGCTTGTAGAGGAAGTATTTAAACTCGCTAGGATCTGATTTGCTCTCTTTGTCAACTTTACCAATGAATCCCCAGATAGGCAGATCATCATAGTACATCTGGAAGTAATAGTCTTTTTCAACAGCTCTTCGAAACTGTTCGACTTCGTCTCTGCTAAGCTTCTTTTTGCAGTACGTCTCCGAGTCTTTTTCTTCTCTGAAGCTAAGCTTGTACGGAGCACTAACAAGCCGGTCCCCATTCAAAACCTCACCAAGAGCTTCCTTCTTATCTTTCACTCCCTCTGCCAAACCAAAAGCAATTGATCAGAGATAAAATTGAGCTTAGTGAGAGATTCACAGTGAAATTGAACTTCCCAGAAACAGAAATCAACAATAGATACAAAAGCGTGCTCGTACCTGGAACGCAGAAAGGCAGATCGAAGTACCGATACGTTTCACTGCGATCATCATCATCAAGCAGAAGTATAATCAGTCACATGACAACGAAATCCAAGAGATAAAGTCGCAAATAAGCAAAGATCTATCGAAAACATTTCCTGAAATTGCATTACACATTTTACGGCATCAATCGAATTTTCAAGGTCTTAGTAATCGATAGCTACAAATTGCGAATACCATCGCAGCTTTTATCAGCAATCGCATGTATAGTCGATGATCAATTTCTCATCCAAGACAATTTCAGATCTAAGCAAAGATATTGAAAACCTACCAACACTAGAATAAGATATCGCTTTTTACCTGGGATTGTGAAACGGGCCGACCTTGTTGGCGTAGAGAGGAACTGAGTCGCCTTCCTTGTAACGGTGGTCGGAGGCATCGGATCTGACGATTCCGGCGCCGGAGAAGATGAGAGCTCCGACTAAGAGGAGCAGCGTCGTCGGTATTCTCATGGTGTTTCTCTGTGAGTGGAAGAAAATCGTGAGATCTGATGAGTTTTCGCTTTATATTTGGGAGGAACGCAAATGGGAAAGACGACAAATATTTTTTAATATTTATCTTATCTCTATTTTTTAATACCGAGTTTCCTTGTTGTTCAAAAAAAAAAAAAAGAATAAAATTCCTTAACCTTTTGTATAGGGGCAACAACAACAAAAAATGTAAGAAAAAAAATTCAGAATCTGCGACACTGATATTTGAACAGATAGAGAAATAATTATTCCCTTTACGTTTTGTATTTGAGTTTGCAAAATATTGAAATTAGAAAAGGTTAAAACCGAAGAATTAATAAAACAAAAGACCGATTAAAAATTTATACAATCTGATTTAAATTATTATTATCTTTTTCCGTCTAAATAATTTTATTGATATGAAGAATTACATTCTGACTTTACAAAAGTAAGAACCAATTAAGGACAACAGTGAAATAAACTCCAATTGGAGGAATTAGAAACAGCCAATTTTGCAAGATATCATCACCACATTAATTTGCTGTTCGGTTTCTATACGAGCATTTAATGTGATTGAACATTAACTTCCAGCCTTCCACTCTAATCTTATAATTTTGTTTGAAGAATTAAGGTATGAAACTTTTTTGTTTTGACCAAAGGCATAACTTTTCTCATATATTTTGTTATCATAATTAGTGCACACACTCCGACGATGAGACTCAGTAGCTCGGTTGATACACGTAACACAGCGGTACGGAACATCCTCGCTCCAAGGTACGTGAGGCGCCAGGGGAAGAAACATTTTGCTAAAGTGTTTCCTGAAGAAATATAATGTTGTCACTAAATAAAATCAAAGTCGTACAAAAATATTTCCATTATAATGTTGTCACTAAATCAAATTGTAATATGAAGAGAATGAATTGTTTTCTATTTAAGATCAATAATTCTTGTCACCACTATGCCTCTTATTCTCGTGTTGTTGCATGCTAACCAAGAAAAAAACTTCACTATAAGAGCCAATCAGAACATGATAATACATCTTCTTAATTAACATTTATCCAAGGTTTTATCAAGAACAAAGGATCCGTTCGTTACAAGATTACTGACACCATATATATGTACATACTATAAGCAAAAACGTAGGCTTTCAAAATCTATCGTTTCCAAATCAAACATGCAAAAACAACAATTATGTGCAAACTAAAATATTTTGTTGAGCAAATAAAAAGAAAAACTTAGACAGATAAAACGAATTTTTTTGTAAAGATGATAACGTTAAACTAACACAACTTCACCATTTGGTAAGGTAAGTACTCCTCGATCTCTGTCTAATATAAGTAAATAACACAAGCTTAATATTAAATACAAACTATATTAGTTATCAAAATTTTACGAAACAATATGTATACTGAACCATAAGATATATCGACTCTGCCTTTTTGAACTATGACTCAGACCAGTTTTGTAGAAAATATGACATTTTATGTAGTTATGGAGGTCATGGTTTTGACTTTTGACAGATTGTGAAAATGCTGAAAGTTGGGTAGAAAGTGAATTATCGTAACTATCTCGTTATATTATTTTCCTAAACTTGTAGTACTTAGTAGTTTTCCATTGGTAGGTTCATTTGATCATTTCCATTCTTGAGTAATTTTTATGTTTTTTACTTAATCCGATTCTTGTGTATATTTTTTTCTTTTCTTATCAAATTCCATTATCGTCTTATTAAAATGGCAGTAACCATTAAGGCCCAAATTTAAGTAAGCCCGATAACACACGTAACAAATGTTGCTATTGATTATGGCCAAAGCTATGAATACGTTCATACTATGATCATACATTCATACTGTGTTATCTACGTGAAACTACTTAATTAGGGATGATGTCGGAAAGAAAAAAGCAGAGCTAAAGAGCAGAGCTAGTGGTCATGGAGCTTCACGACGATAACAAGAATCTGAAAGTTTCTATGAAACTCCCTTATGAGTTATGGCCCCAAATTTTATGGTCCTAGTTTCCAGAGCCGGACATAGTGAGGCCACAAAATTAAGTTGTGGTTTTTTATAAAAAAAAGAAAAGAAAAAAGTAAATCTATGAGGGAGGAATGGAACTCTTGATCGAAAATTAACTTTGGGAAGTAGCCACTAGACTTACATTGGATTTCGAACCAATTGGCCGGAACATCGAGTCGTATGGATTTGGTCCAATCCGTACAACATCATAACAAACCCCTTATTATTCCCTAATTCTTCCACCTTGAAAAAATCGACCAAGGACATCAGAAAATTTGACAATGGTAGATTAGATCGCAGTGTAAGAGAGAAAAGAACATACAATCACATTATGGACGAACATCTAGGTTAGTTGATAAGGTACGAGGGTTGAGGAGCAGAGCCATGCAGCATAAATGGATGCCGGAAGCAATGAAAAAAATTCAAGTTAAAAAAAAACTCATACTCCATGGTTTCAGAATATAGGATTTTCTAAAAAGAATTTCTTATTTCGAAATATAAGATGTTTTATAGTATCATATTAAATGCATTTCATTTTTCAAAAGTAGTAACTTACATTGGAATTTTTTTTTTGTTGATAAAATTAAAAGGTTAAAATTCACAATTAATACAGATGTACACTCTTGATAAACACATTGGAAACAGAAAATTTTGAGGACTATTTCTTACCATTTCATCATTTTTTTCTTTCCAATATTCTCTTTCTCTTTCTAAAAACCAAATGAATCAAGAAAAAAACACTACCCAAAAAATTGATTTGAACAAAGTTTACAACAATGAAGAAAACCAGATGAAAGATGTCCAACATATTCACAATATCAATGACAGCACTCGAGAATTTGATTTGAATAAACCATATTATAATGTAGGAGAGCTTCATCCTGACAAAAAAACTGAAGACATGATATTGGAGATGTTGAAGATATATTTACCTAAGTTTTTTTAGTTTTTATCATTGTTCTTAGCTTTCCTCTCTGTTTTCGTCTAAATAATGGTCTTGATTTTCATTACATATGACCATTGGTGGTTTTTGTTCTGAGAGTCATTAAAAATAATGTAACTAGGTAAAAGAGGAACTATATAAAATAGTCATCTTTAGTTCATCTTTTTCAGTCATTCCGAACAAAAACCACAAATGAGACATAACAAAAACCAAGACCATTATTTAGGCGAAAACAAAGAAAAAAATCAAAAACAATGATAAAAAAATTTAAAAAACTAAAAAAACTTAGGTAAATAAATCTTCATCATCTCCAATATCAGGTCTTCAGTTTCTTTGTCGGGATGAAGCGTTCCTACATCATAATATAGTTTATTCAAATCAAATTCTCGAGTGCTGTCATTGATACTGTGAATACGTTGGACATCCTTCGTTTGATTTTCTTCATTGTTGTAAACTTTGTTCAAATCAATTTTCTGGGTAGTGATTTTTTTTTCTTAGTTCATTTGTTTTTAGAAAGACAAAAATAATATTGGAAATAAAAAATGATGAAACTATTAAGAATTGTCCTAAAAAATTCCCTTTCCAATGTGTTTATCGAGAGTATACATATCTAATTGTGAATTTAAACCTTTGAATTTATCACACAATTTTTTTTTTCCAATGTAATTTTTTTTTTTGAAAATGAAATGCATTTAGTATATGATCTAAAACGTTATATTTTTTTAGAACAAGAAAATCTTTGAACATCTTGTATTCTGGAACGAAAGAAGTATAAAACTCAGAGCCGTGTTTATAGTGTTATGAAAAATGCATTAGGCCCCCTTTTGTAATATAAAGTTTTGAGATCCCTATATGTAAAAAATCAGCAGTAGTCTAGTGGTCAGAGGAAGGTTAGAGAGTTCTTCTTGGATCATCCCAAGTTCGAGGCCCCCTATTTACCAAGTTGATATTTTTTATTTATTTAGTAACTGACAATTTTTTTTAAAAAAAACTTATCATTATTTTTATAAAATATAGTATAAAAATATATAGTTGTAATTTGGCCTAGGCCCCCTACAAGCCTTTGCACGGCACTGATAAAACTATTTATCTTTTGTAATATTTTGTTATGACTTGTGATATGCTTTATTTGTTTAACTGTATTCTGTAGCAAAGATGACGATTTTCATATTGTGTGTGTGTGTTTTATTGAATTGGCAACTTACCCCAAATTGAAAGTGTTCTTGTCCCTTTACACCTTTCTGTTTCCTCTTTGTCCTAATACCTTTTTTTTCTAACAAAATTTTCAGTTTTGCCCTTTTCTTTAGTTAAATCAGGTTTTAATTTATTTTTATTTTTAATTAAAATTTAAAAATAAATTAAAAAGGTAAAACTAATAAAACTAATTAACAAAACTGAGAAACCAAGAAAATCATATCCACCCATTGATTGCACACCTTTTCCATGAATCACAAGCTATATATACTTGCACCATATTTAAGATAGAGGATTAAAGAGGAGGAAGGAGAGGAAGAAGGAGAGGAAGGAAGAAGAGGAAGGAAGAACGTGAGGGTTGTGTCAGTGGTTTAATCTAGGATAGTTGGAGGAAAAAAAGGAAAGAAAGATTTGAAAAATATTCAGTTGCTATATTTTCTCGATTTTCGTAGAACATGACTTCTACTAAAAGTAGAGGACAATGATTTTGCTAGACTGTGTATTAGAAACACGATAGTAGAAAACAAGGTTTTAGTAGAACACTACTTCTGCGGGTCGTAGATTATACACAAACACGTAGGATACGAAAACTACTTTACTGTAGAACTTGAAATCTACGCATAGTAGAACATACTTCATTGTGTAGAAGATAGTTGGTGCAACTTCTACGAAATGGTAGATCTTATAGCACTTAGTAGATATCGCGGAAGAGGTATGAATAAGTTGTAGATATTATGTTCTATGACCGTTAGATTTCCGAATATCTTGTAGAAAACGAATTCTACTTTGATATTATCGATTTGTAGAACGAAACTTCAAATATTTTTTAAAATATTTTAAACATTTCTACACAATCTTGAGATCATTTCTAGTATTTATGGATTTTTTTTTTACTTTAAAAAACCTTTATTTTAGAGTTTCTAGAAAAATTATATTATAATGATAATAATGTCCAATTTTTAAACGACGGAGTTCGCCCTAAATTTTTTCTCTTTGGTTCAACTCCCAAGGCGCCGCTCAAGCCCCGACTCGGGATGAGTCTTCTTCACCGGAGTTTCTTCCCCTGAGTTCGGAGCACCCCCTTTTTCCCGGATCCTCTTTTGTATCCGATGCCCTTGTTTCTTCTACCGCCGGTGGTCTGTCCACCAGCGAGACCCTTGTTCTCCGATTTGTTTTCCGGTCAATCCTTCGCTCTGGTAGACGTACCAAAGGGATACAAGAACTTTTCGAGGACGAAGCTCTCAAACCTTTCCTACAACCTACCGGAGCTGGATGTGCGTTCGGAAGCAACGGTGTCTACACCACCGAAACGCTTCATCTCTACTCCATCTCTCGGCTAGCTTCTCTCTCCGGTGGGTACTTTGATGAGATCCACAGAGCTTTTGAGGACGGAGTTCGCTCATCTCTCAAGCGTCCCACTGGAGTCGACTGGTAGAGTGACGGAGCTCTCTCACCGCCAAGTGCTTCTCCTTCCGGACTCACCGAAACCTCCGCCGGAACCACCGGATCCGCCGGATCTATGGCCATGTTCTCAATCTCCGGGGTGTCTTCCGACTGGTAACCTTTCATCTCTCCCTCGTTCTCTGCCTCCATGTATCTCCCCAGATCCGTTCGTGTTTCCAATCAGAAATCTGCCCGCCTTGCTCCTCCCACTTTTCCACATAGTCGCAGCCTGGCTCTCCACAACTACCTAAAGATCCACAGCCTTGCTCTGGACCCATGGCATGGAGTCCGAGGCGCAAAGAACCGTTTCCTCTCCTCCTTCAACTCCATCAGTCCTTGACGACAACAAAATCTCTTCGGCCATGGTGTATGTGTTTCATTCTATGCTATATGCCTCCACAACACACGCCTTTCACCAGAGATCACCATCTGCCTCCTCCTTCACGGAGAGACCACGTCCATCAACTTCCTGCAAAAGAAGAAGCCCAATGTGGAAAGATTCATCAGCAGAAGCCCATCTCAACATCATACCGGCTCTTGTCAACGCTTTATCTTTAGGCGTATGTTGTGTTGATCCTTCCTCTGTGATGAAGAAACAACAGTCCATAATTGTCGGGTTATCCACGGATTATGTTGACTTAGATTCTAGAGTACTGCCAACTTTCCGCTGTATCCCCGAATCTACATCCGCGGCTCTAGAGTATTGCCATCTTACCGTTGTATCCCCAAATCTCTGAACTCCCCCTCCTCCTTTTTGGAGAAAGTCTTTCAACGCTCATCAGGAGCTATCATCGTTCACTTATCTTCAATGACAGAAGAATTTACCCTTTCTAAAGGGATCTCGGTTATTTTCTACGAATCTAACCTTCTATCTATCATTAGCATGCTTTATACTTTGCTTCTTGCATCTTGTTCGGACTCCTTGGCATCGAGCTTCCGATTTTGGTTTGTAACCGGGTTCTAAATTTAATTTAAATCATCAATTGTTCAAAAAAAAAAAAAAAAAGTTTCTAGAAAAATGAAAGGGCAATCCTGACCAAAAATGACGAAAATCAAAAAATGTGTAAAGGAATAAAAACACTCTTAATTTGGGATAAATTGTCAATTTTTTTTTTTTCTTATGAAGGGTTCAGATGCCATGCATATTGTTTTGGAGATACTTGATTGGATGTAGTTGGTAGATCCATTTGACTTTTTCTAATGTAGAACTCTTGTTTTTTGTACAAACCGGAACATTGTTAATTTAGTAAATGATCTCATTTGATAGCTACCTAAAACTTTAATAAACAAATTCGACCTGCTCTGGAGTTGACTTATTCGGAACAAAAGATAGAGACTTGTGTTTACCAGATAGATATAATCAAAGCGAATATCATTCTAGAAAAGTATTCACGTTGACTTATTTTCCTACCACACTTATCTTCACAAACAAATTATATAATGCGATTATAGGTATACAAATGATTTTGAATTTTGGCTATAATCTCCATCCTCCAACAAACTAAATAGTGCCGATTGTATAATGGACTCATTATATAATTTTGAGTTATAGGAAGTTATTCACATATTCCCAAACCCAAACACATCAAACTCCACAGTCCACACCTTAGGCAGACTTTTTCTTTGGTCATATGATAGTCACCAAATGGATTAGGTAGACTTTTTCACTTTAATTTGCGATTATATAAAAACAACACACAAACGTTGTCAAATTTTAAATGTGTAAAATCTTATCAGAATAAAGAATAAAGAATGAAAAATTATCTGGAGAAACCTAAACTATATTCTTTTAGCCGTTGATGGCCAAAATCAGTTTTTGGGAATATCATTATTGTCTAGCATATTCTCAAGTATGATCATTTCTTTCACAGAAAAGAACAAAGAGTTGTGGGAATACCACTCAATATGCAATTCCAAATATGAAAACAAAATACAAAAATAATTTCATAATATAAAATTTCGTTTGTAAGAAAAAATTGTCAACTCCTGATCAGGTTTTTCTTAAATAAATAGAAGAGTTGGTCGGATGAAATTCGTGAAATATATTGCAGAAAATCGTGATGATGTGTTGTCCTATCCATATAAAATCAACACACTAATATCTCTTGTGTTGACACCTAGGATTTTTTAAGCATCCTAGAGTTGACACCTCATTTAAAATCAACAACCAATCAAGACATTTTAAATAATACCAGTCAGCTGAAAAAATTAAACACGTCACTTTGCAAATCTCTCTCCTCTCGCTCAAACTCCGCCGTTTCGATTGATAACTTGTTTTGTTCATCGATTCTTTCACTCCGATAAAAATCTCCAAATCTGAATCCGAAATCGAAGCTTGAACCGAGTGTGGCAGTGTTCTCTCCACGTAATCAGATCCAGAGAGAGGAAATTAGTGTAGTTATGAAGAAGAAATTCGGGAAGGAGAAGAAGGATTCAGCGTATGTTGCTGCAGAGATTGACTGTAAGTGTGGAGCTAAGGTCAATGGTAAACTCTAAGTTAGAAAGTGGAGAATTGTTTCAGAGGTCGAAATGACTCTACGCCCAGAGGCTCGGTGTTGGAGCTCCGGTTTACAAGGCCGCCGTTCTCGAGTATCTCACCGGCGACGGAAGTTTCTCGATTCTTTATTAATCTGCAATCTCAATCCCATACATGTATCCTCCATTCATTTTTTATTCAATCCTTTCTGGCATTCAAATGTGGCGAGAAACGCGGCTGCGATGATCAGAAAGCTTGTAACTTGATGATCTGGGTGTTGGGTAGTCATCTAAAGTTCAACATAGCTTGGTATTTGATCCGTGATATGTTTCATGTTTCAAGGAATACTAGAAAGGCCATGTTTCTCATGATAGACAGGTTAAAGTTTCGTCTTCTTTTTAGAATTTCTGTTCACCTTAAGAAATGAAAAAGTTCCTCTTTTGTTGAATTTGTTTGTGATATAGAGATTTTACAAAGTATTGAATTGGTTTGTCTTGCTATTGAGTGTAGATATGCTGCTTTATAATATGCCTCTTGATTTTGTGATTATTTTGTGAAGCTTAGGTTTGTGCTTATTGTTTGTTGCTCTAACCAATTTGGTTTTTTATTCTATCCACTGTTGATTTATTTCCCCTCAAACTTCGCTTTGTTTCCTTAGATGTCGGATAATTTGGATAAAAGCTGAGAAGTTGGAGGATTTAGGAGCTAAAGTTACGGGGTTATAGTTGAGAAATTGGAAGAATTAGGAGAAATAAATTTACCTCTAAAAGAAATGTAGTTTTGATTTTGGTTAGTTTCAGCTATCTGATTTTTTCAATGGGTCTTCAATTGCCGTGGAGCTTTGATGTTCGTTCATGCTCTGAATAGCAAGAAAGATCTCCAAAACAACACCTCCGTGTAGATCATGTAGCTGATGATGTAGCTTGGAAGAAACAATACAAGAAGTTAGCTCTTCTGCCTCATCCTGATAAGAACAAGTTTAGCGGCACAACAAAGGCGTTTAAGTTGGTTTCAAAAGCTTTGCGTCTGTTATCTGATCATTCTAAGTGCATCACTTATTCTACGATTTATAAATTAAATTCATTACTTGAATCGTTTGTGTGAGTTAACGAAAATATTGTTGAAAGATTTGAAGTGTTAAATAATTCTGAAAATGTGTACACGTTGATGGCAATTAAATAGTAAGAAACACAAAATCGTAAAGCATGAACTTGTTATAACTTGGTGATATTCCCATCAACAACCATGTTTATCAAATGATTTATACAAAAAACAAAAGAAGAAGCTTTGAAATTTTGAGACGTGGTTTCTTAGGACAGAGACTGAGGTGGAAAAATTTATAATCGACTTCAAAACTGTAGAATTCGAAACACGAGCTTAACTTACTTTGTTGCATTAATCTGTTCACACAAATGTGTTGCTTTTAGTTTATTTATTTTTATTCTTGAATTACAGGTTACGGTGGTGACCATGGATGCAGAGTTTATTGTCTATGCGTTCGCATTTTCTTCGTCTATTGAAGTGCAGGTTAGAATACCATTAACCACACCTTGCGTTTTTCTATTAGCTTAATAGATGTAAGTTTAATTAACTTAATTGCCTCAATCTCACCAGTAAATAAAAAGGTGAAAATATAAATTCTTTAAAATTTTAACTTCTTTCATTTGAAATTGATAACAAAATTTAAATAGATAATAAATATGGTATACTAGAAATTTAGGATATCAAAACAAATTGGTGGTTAAATAAAAAAAACACTAAAATTGTTCTGCGGAAAAGTGAAGGTGTTGAAATGTTTGAGTTTTTCTATTTCGAAGGTGTTAAAAAAAAGTACTGTAGTATATATAAAAAGTTTAGAAATACAAATTCGATGTAAATTTTTTTTTCTAAAAATAAAAAGATACATAAATTTCCACGGCGGTAAAGACAATATTTTGTCAAAAACTAAATATTTTTTGTTTTCATAAATCTTAATAGAACAATATCTTATACTAATATTTATGAATTTATTACAAATCATAAAAAATTGTATAAAATATTTAAATCTAACTAAATAGTATAAAAATTAAAGTTTATTATATAAAATTAAAATTATATTATTTGATAAGAAAAAAATATATATAAATAAAATGATAACCTCACTCCGCAGCGTAGCGCGGGTCAAATTCTAGTAATAAGTAAATGCAGTACAATCACATGAATGACATGATCATCGCCTCGGTGATTAATACTACTCCACTATTTATATTGATTTTAACGCATATAAACATCTGTATACATATTACATATGTGTATGTATAGCTCTATACGTATTTATTCCCACTTCTTCTTCTTCCTCTTCCCAATACTGTTTCTTCGAACTCGAAGAAATGGCGAACGTAATCGACGCGACGATGCCGTATAGACTTGTACAGGAGGAGACCGATTCGTCTTCTTCCACCAAAAGAGAAACTAGCCCCGTCGACGCCGTTCTCTTCGTCGGGATGTCTCTGGTGCTCGGTATAGCTTCTAGGCATCTGCTTCGAGGAACCAGGGTACCCTACACCGTCGCTCTCCTCGTTATCGGAATTGCTCTCGGATCTCTCGGTTCGAATTTCGATTATCCCTGAATTTGAATCGTTGACACCATTTTTCTCGACTGATTGCTTCATTTAATGTCTCAGAATATGGAACTCACCATAACCTCGGGAAAGTCGGCCATGGAATTCGTCTCTGTAAGCTCTTGGCTCTAAACAAATATAGCAATTCCAATTAAGAATCAACAATCTCAATGTTGTTACTGTGAAGGGAATGAAATCGATCCAGAACTTCTGTTGGCTGTTTTCCTTCCGGCTCTTCTCTTCGAAAGTTCGTTTTCAATGGAAGTTCACCAGATCAAGGTTTGTTTTTCCTCCTAATACGCTTATGCTTTTTTTCCAAGAGTCTCTGTCAAATAAGAAAAGCCTATTTGCATCTTCCATTAGAGGTGTCTGGGACAAATGGTGCTTCTTGCTGGGCCTGGAGTTCTCATTTCAACGTTCTGTCTCGGAGCGCTTGCTAAGGTATGGAGTAGCCTAACGTTAAGTAGCCGTCGACAAGCAAACGAACACAAACGAAATTAGACTATAATGCTATTTGCAGCTCACATTTCCGTATGACTGGGACTGGAAAACGTCGCTGTTGCTTGGGGGACTTTTAAGTGCTACAGATCCTGTTGCCGTTGTTGCTTTGCTAAAGGAGCTTGGTGCTAGTAAGAAGCTAAGCACCGTTATCGAAGGGGAATCTTTGATGAATGACGGGTAATCATCATCATCATTCATGTCAACCTTTTGCTAATTATCTATCGTAGTCTGCTGATTTTGGAAAAAAAAACTACAGGACGGCAATTGTGGTTTATCAGTTATTCTTAAAGATGGTTATGGGGCAAGATTCTGACTGGGGTTCTATAGTCAAATTTCTGCTTAGAGTCGCACTTGGAGCGTATGTCTTGATCTTTTCCTCTTTTAGTGTTATCGAGTGGTTGTGTTCTTAGCATTATATATTTGTAATGTATGCTTCTGACTATTTAGTGTAGGCATTGGTATGGCTTTCGGCATTGCCTCGGTTCTATGGCTCAAGTTCATATTTAATGACACAGTGATAGAGATTACTCTAACGATTGCAGTGAGCTACTTCGCATATTACACTGTACGTCTTTCTCTGTAGACCTTGAAATCTTGAGCCAGTATGTTATGTTTGTAGTACAAATGAGAGGTGGCTACTGTGTGACAGGCTCAAGAGTGGGCTGAGGCTTCTGGTGTTTTGACGGTGATGACCTTGGGCATGTAAGTTTCAGTGACCTCACTTTTTTTCCTTTTTTTTCTTATCCTGCAAGAAGCCACTTGTTATATAATAACGGGTTGTTACAGGTTTTATGCTGCATTTGCAAGGACAGCATTTAAAGGTGACAGTCAAAAAAGTTTGCATCACTTCTGGTATATCTTAAATTTGTGGGATTGGAACTGCTCTGTATATCTTAACTCTACGTAAAAGGTTGATCTATAAGACATATTTTCCCGGTAACTTGTGCAGGGAAATGGTCGCATATATTGCAAATACTTTGATTTTTATCCTCAGGTAAGGGTATAATCATATAGACTCATCTCCTACTTGGGCCACGCCAACCTTAAGAAATAAGCTTATGGGTAGCAAAAAGCTATTTTGATGCAGTCTACTCTTAGTGGTGCTACAGTATTTAAGTTACTTATCATTAACTTTGCAGTGGTGTTGTCATTGCTGAAGGCATTCTGGACAGCGAGAAGATTGCCTACCAAGGTGCCATTACTAGTTGAAAGTTTGCAGTTTTTTATTTCTAGCTAACATGAATTCTATCCTGATTATATGAAGATAGTTTCCGTCTAAGTTTGCCACTGCGAATTGTTTATTCAAGCTGAGTCCCAAGTCATTGCATTTTTCACCTGTTATGTTTGCTATTATTGTGAACAGACCTCTGTATATTTAAGGTATTTGGTTCTTGACGGGTCAGTTGCTCCTTAGCGTGAATTAGTTAAAAAGAACAAAGCTAGCATCATTGGTTTGAGAAAGTGATGAAACAGAATTGCCACTGTGTTAGGACTAAAATAACCTGTTCTTTCACCAGTCTGTTGATTTATTAAGTAGCTGCTAGAGCTATACTGTCTTCGATATATCTTTTTTTCTCTAGAACCATAGCCGCATAAGGCACACAATGTCATTGACCTTACCTTTCTTATATATCTTGGTTTTACGAACTCTCGATGACCTATGGTTTTTCCAGGAAATTCATGGGGATTTCTTTTTCTCCTGTACTTATACATCCAACTATCGCGTTGTGTTGTTGTTGGAGTTCTATATCCATTGTTACGTCGTGCCGGCTATGGTTTGGACTGGAAAGAAGCCACTATACTCGTATGGTCTGGTTTGAGGGGTGCAGTGGCGCTCTCACTTTCTTTATCTGTGAAGGTTAGTTTTCAAGAACACTGTCTATCTTGTTCTTTGAAATTTATGCGTATCGTTTCTACAAGCCAGATTGATTTCAGTGTTTACTTATTGATTCAGCAATCCAGCGGAAATTCTTTTATCAGCACGGAGACGGGAACATTGGTAAGTTCTGGAAACAGTCTGCAAGGAGTTATCATTTCACTTTCTTGATATTCTCAGTTGTTTTGCAGTTTATTTTCTTCACAGGTGGGATTGTGTTCCTAACTCTGGTAGTTAATGGATCCACTACCCAATTTGTTCTACGCCTTCTTCGCATGGACGGTTTATCAGCCACAAAGGTCAGAATCTTTTCACAGACTTCAAGACTGGCTCCAAGAAAAACCTGCAACTCCTATATAAAAGATGCTCAGCCCCTTAATTTATTCGAAATTTCTCCACTTTTCCTTTTGACAGAAACGAATATTGGAGTATACAAAGTATGAAATGCTGAACAAGGCCTTACAAGCGTTTGAAGATCTAGGAGACGATGAGGAGCTGGGACCTGCTGACTGGCCTACAGTTGAAAAATATATTTCAAGCTTAAAAGATTCAGAAGAGGAACAACAGATTCATCCTCATAGTGGTTCTGAGAATGGAAATCTTGACCATACGAGTTTAAAGGACATACGTATACGTTTCTTAAATGGTAATTATCATGTCCCTTTCTACGTAATATATTAATCTATATTGAAACTTAACTCGAGTCTCTTGTCTGCATCAGGTGTTCAGGCAGCTTACTGGGAAATGCTTGACGAGGGAAGAATATCTGAAAATACTGCTAATATTCTGATGCAGTCAGTGGATGAGGCGTTGGATCAGGTTTCCACTGAGTCTCTATGTGACTGGAAAGGTCTAAAACCGCATGTTAAGTTCCCGAGCTACTACAACTTTCTTCACTCTAAAATCATCCCACGCAAGTTGGTCACATACTTTGCTGTTGAAAGACTGGAGTCTGCTTGCTACATTTCCGCTGCATTTCTTCGCGCACATACAATTGCACGGCAGCAATTGTATGATTTTCTAGGTATGCACACAATTCAGATTCTGGAGTACACTTATGGAAACATTTTCAGTCTTTTTAGTAAAGACCAATACTTTCATACTTTTGTGTCTTAGTTTCTTTATTTTCTACACAGGGGAGAGTAATATTGGTTCTACTGTGATCAACGAAAGCGAAATGGAAGGAGAGAGAGCGAAAGAGTTCTTGGAGAAAGTCCGATCTTCACTTCCTCAGGTTGAGAGTCTTGTCACTTGTTTTGTGTGTTTTATCTTTATATAATCTCTGATCAACTTGGTTTGTAGGTTCTTCGTGTTGTGAAAACGAAACAAGTAACATACTCAGTGCTGAATCACTTACTCGATTACATTCAAAACCTTGAGAAGATTGGTTTGTTGGAGGAAAAAGAAATCGCTCATCTTCATGACGCTGTCCAGGTTACCAAACTAAAGAATCAAGCTTCCTTTCAACAAATGGTCCTCTCTCTTTTGTCTAACGTTGCTTCTCTCTCTCTCTGCAGACTGGCTTGAAGAAGCTTTTGAGAAACCCTCCAATAGTAAAACTCCCAAAACTGAGCGACCTTATCACCTCACATCCGTTATCAGGTGCTCTTCCTGCTGCAATATGCGAACCTCTAAAACACTCGAAAAAAGAAACAATGAAGCTGCGTGGTGTCACGCTTTATAAAGAAGGTTCAAAGCCAACTGGAGTCTGGCTCATTTGTGATGGCATTGTTAAGGTAAACCCAAAACTTAGTTTTACTTTTAAGTCTTACTTCTAAAGACCCACTTCATCTTGTAATAATAATAATAATACACTTACAGTGGAAAAGCAAAAGCTTAAGCAACAATCACTCGCTGCATCCAACTTTTTCTCACGGTAGCACATTAGGACTCTACGAAGTCCTCACTGGGAAGCCATACATGTGCGACATGATTACAGACTCTGTGGTTCTCTGCTTTTTCATTAGCAGCGACATGATACTATCCATGCTACAATCAGATTCCACCATTGAAGATTTCCTCTGGCAGGTAATATGCTGCTCTATTCAAAAATCAAAATCCAGTGAAGAGAAACTCGTTCTCTTGATTCTATATATTGCACCAACTTTAACTTCTTCTGTTGCAGGAAAGTGCTTTGGTTCTTGTCAAACTCTTACGCCCTCAGATATTCGAAAAAGTGGCAATGCAAGAACTACGAGCCCTTGTTTCTGCTGAAACCTCCAAAATGACAACATACGTATCTGGAGAATCAATCGAGATCAGCTACAACAGCATCGGTCTGCTACTAGAAGGTTTCGTAAAACCAGTTGGTATCCAAGAAGAGCTCATATCATCTCCTGCTGCATTACTGCTTCCTTCTAGTGGGAATCAAAGCTTCCGTAACTCATCAGAAGCTTCAGGAGGTATCATGAGAGTGAGTTTCACACGGCAAGCGATACAGTACAGTGTAGAGACGAGAGCGAGAGCTATCATCTTCAGCATTGGAGCATTTGGAGGTGACAGGACGCTGTATCGAAGACCATCTTCGCTAACACCACCACGTGGATCAAGCTCTGATCAGCTCCAGAGATCGTTTAGTAAAGAACACAGAGGTCTCATGAGCTGGCCTGAAAGTATTTACAAAGCCAAACAAGAGGAAGAGATCAATAGAAAGACGTTGAGTTTATCCGAACGAGCAATGCAGCTTAGCATTTTCGGCAGCATGGTTAATCTGTACAGGAGGAGTGCAAGTTTCAGTGGGATCTATAACAACAAGGCACAAGAGAACTTTTCGTACAAGAGGCTTCCACTAAACTCAGCGCAAGGACTCGTTTCAGCGAAATCAGAAGGCTCGATTGCGACCAAGAAGCAGTTTGAAGCCAGGAAGTTTGTGTCTCAGCTTCCCGCGCAAATAGTATCAGCGGAGAGCAGTACGAGACGGAAAACGACGGTGGAATCAAGCGATGATGATGATGATGATGAAGATGAAGGAATCGTTGTGAGAGTTGATTCTCCGAGTAAACTCGTTTTCAGGGACGATCTATGAAGTAATTTGTAATGTGTTGTTGTAACATAATAATTGTAAAATGGTTAGCCTTACTAACTAATTCTTGTGCTAACAAGCATAAAAAGAAAAAAGGGCAAAACAACAAAACAATTCGATCAACATTGTGAAAATCATTCCAAAGTTATTAGAACAGATAAAATCTTCTTGCTGCTATTCTTCTTTTCTTTGTCTCACTCTTTTGGTGAGTAAATTACTTCCGTCTTTTTCTGTCAAAACATTATCTGGAAATTTTAAAACACAAATTACTTCTGTCTTTTTTGTCAAAACAATATCTGACAATTTGAAAACACAATGTTACTTGGGTCATTTTTCTCCTCTTATCTCTTTTTTTTTTCTTTGGCTACTGTCAGTTTTCCTTTTTGTAAGTTCGTTGTCAAAATGAAAAAGTTGGACCCGGACTCCACCACACTATGGTCAAAAGTTATGTTGGTTTTTCTTTGTCGCATTTTTTTTGAAAAATATATATCTTAACTAACTGAACTTATGGTGGTCCAATTGTTTAGTAATCCATTTGACAGTAAGAACTAAGACGACAAATATTTTCTAGGTTTCTTTTTGTTTTTACGATTATAACCATGTTCAGGCGTTTAGCCAATATAAATATGTTTAGATAGTAAAAAACTAAAAATATATACAGGAGTAATAACTAACAAGTAATCGAGTTTAATTAAAACAGCTCTAACTAATGTTAGACTACTAATTAAATACAAACCTAATGTCTAACAAAACCACGATCAGCAACATGCATGCACTACCTTAGGCAATAAGGCATATGACCACTTACCACTTTTCTTTCTGCCGTACAGCTAAAGTATAGCACTATAGGCTATAGCTCATGCCGACATACGTAACATATCACACAAGCACGACGTCATTTGTACATCTGAGCTTTAATCCTCGCCGTTTAGTGTCGTTTATACATCAAACAACGGCGGTGATCCAATGCTCATATTATATTGCCATACAATAATGGACTTGCTATTTGCTTATTAGAATACTAATCAACTTTTATCTTTTGTCAACACTAAATGAACTTTATTTCAAGTTTCAACACTCGATACTAACTTCACTTGACATTAAAATGCTGATATATATCATGTTTAGACATTTTATAATACAAGAGAACAAGAAAACTCTAGACACTTGACATATATGTTCTTCTAAAAATGTCTAGAGCTTTCTTGTTCTCTTGTAATATGTATTTTATAAGAACATAAGAAAATTGATGATTGTATCAGACTAACAAATAAAAATTTGTTGACAAAAAAAATTAAGTATTTCTTTTTCTTTATCCTTTCACTTTTTACTCTTTTGTCGTTCTTACATTTTTTTTTTTCAAAATTATCCCTCTTCTTTTTGCTTTATTTATAGGTTCTTTGTTTTCTTTATTCTTGTTTACCCATCATACTTTAACTATTTAGCTTGTGAATATTCTCTTAATAAATAACAAAATGTTTCCTGTTTGAAAAAAGGACAAAGAGTAAAAAGCTCAAAATCCAAAATTCAAGAAATTTCAAAAGAAAATAATATAATTATTCACCGGATATTATACAACGTTTTTTTTTTTCAAAATTTACCTCCTCTAACTTTCTATACAAAAGTTGAAAGTTTTTCTCATACCCAATGATTACTTTGGCTTTTCTAAACTCTCAATTATCTTACACATAACAACCCAGCTAATTACCATTATTACATAATTCACCCTTTAGTTCTGATTATAGTAACTGTGCCTCTCCCTTGTGTCTGGATCCTAGTAAGTGCCACAACGGCTTTGCCAGAGAGGCCTGGTCCCTGGGTCGAGATGCACGGTCGAGAGGCAAAATCTCCTACCGGATGACGAACCGGTCGAGACGGAGCCATCAAAATCCGCTCGTTTATATCATTTAGGGTTACATCTTCTTCCCGACCACCTGGTTTCACCAGTCCAAATGGGTACACTAGTCTCGTGATTAGTCTTTTGTTCTTATTACCAAAATTGGAATAAGATTGTTCGGTTGGAGATTTTTCTTGGACATAGATTTTCTCGGAAGAAACAGAGGTGTCAGGAGACTCGTAAACGGTCGATATCGGGTCCTCAAAGCTACTTATTACACTCTTACGTTCATCTGTACATTGGAAAATAATTAACCATTAGCATTTTTCTGAAAATGAATAAGAAATGCAATTGATTTAATTCGAATAAAAAAAAAGTCTTCTTGTTGAATTTAAAACTATTCTTGACGATAATTAGTTTTTTTTTCCTATTATAGTCAAGACGACAATTAGTTAAAGGTATTTTTTTTACGTTGGTATCATTTGAATTCTGAATGATTGGTATCTCTAAAGTTCTTAAGAATAAAACAAATTAAAAAGTAGGTCTCACCTGTTTTAACATGTGGAGAGACAAAGTCACTATTCAAACACCTATAACTCTCATGCAGGCCCCAATCCTTCTGCATTTTCAACGTTCAATTAAGAAAATTCAAATTAATTAGTTTTTTTTTTGGGTGCAAATGTGAAGAATTTAATTAGTTATATTGTTTACCAAATCATTTGGAAATGATACTTGAATAGAAAATGCATATATCATTAGAAATTAATTAAACTAATTAATAAACTCAAACCTGCGACTGCGAGTAGCTATCGTTGAGAGATTTTGAGGGATCCTCGAACAAGAGACGTCTCCTTTTGCTTCTCTCGCAAGACTCGATAAGTGCGTCTTCGAGGTAACCTGTGGAGACGTCGGAATAATCCAACTCCGGTGATCGGTAAGTATGTTCTGGGGAACCATTCATGAATCCACATGCATCTGCAAGCACACATCACTTTTATACAATTATACTTCTTTTCATAACAAAATAACCTTTTTGCATTATACACAAAAATCATTTATAAAAAAAAATCTTGAATAACTTGTAACCAAATACATGCACATCGATAAGTTCATATTACATATGCGTATATATGTTTGTCTACACATATCTTACATATATATATAATATATAATATATGTACGTGTGTACGTACATACCAAGATTGAAATCAGGCTTGAAGAGTGATCCAAGGTTATGGAGATCCCAAGTGGGGAGAGAGTAGAGAAGCTCACTCATTTTTTGTGTGTTTTTGTTTTGAATTATTTGCTGATTGTTTTGTATAACAAACACTCATAAGGCTGCCTATTTATATTGGTGGATTGTGTGTCTAAAGTGAACGTAAATTAAATAAATATATTTGAGGAAAAACTAAAGTTAAAAAGCAGTGGAGAATTTTAGAAGATGAAGAAGAAATTGTACTCGATGCAGTCAACGGTAAAGAAATAAAGCAAAAGAACGATTGTTGGATAGTGTCTTTTGCTTGTGATATGAATGTGTACAAATTATAACTTAAATGTTAAATATATAATTAGAATTTCAATGGTAACTCATCAAATAATAGATTACTAAAATAAGCTACATTGCAAGTTTTTATAAAATCCAATTATTTTATGGTACAAAATAATATGTGTAATTCTTTACATGTTCTTCTTAGTGGTAACATTTTTCATTATTACCATTGATTCTTTAATTACAAATTTAGTTTTGTAATTTCTTTGGAATGAATAACTCAGCCTCTATATGCCTTTAACAAAAACACTTAGACGTAATTTCTCATTAGCTTTACATATACATTATATCATTGTATAAAATGTATCGACATACTTCAAATTAATGTTAGATATGTAAGTTTTATGTGGAAAAAAGTACAAGTGTTTGAATTTTTGTTAGAGTTTGGTTAGATGGGGGACCTAATAATGGCTAAAGGTTATGATATCACATCATGCTGTTATATGTTCTTTTCTTACTGTCAAGCTTTAAGCATATTTAGTAAATAATCTTATAACTTGACTCGGTCAATATGTACTAGAATAAGAAATATCATATGTGAGTAGTAAAAACTGTCGGCAATTTTAAAATGTGTTTTACCCTTTTATATATAATTATATATAATGATTGACAACGTGATTATAATGCTATAACACCATAAACTGAGAGTTTTTTTTCAACTAGACCAACTACAAGGTTTGGAAGATAATTGATTGTACAGAAGAGTTCAAAATCATAATGAAGAACAAGTGTCCTGGTATCGATGATCTCAATTGGCGGTTCAGCTCCGGTTTAAGCCTTGACCGGGTACACACGTGTTCACATCGGATGCGTTTGTACTAAGCTGTAAAATGGTATAGTTTAGTCCTCCTGTCTTCTTAAGGGAATAATATAATCCCTTAGCTCGTATTCTGGATCTAAGTTGTTGTAACAGAAACGAGAGAGAGTGAGAGACGCCATTGTAGATCGGAGCTCGAGCTTTGAGCTCAGATTCTAGTGGAAGCAGTTGCCGGCAAAGCCGTGCCCCAGGAGAGTAGGAAACGAACTCCTGGGTGACCAATTTCGTGTCTCTTTACTTTATGCATTCTTCTTCACTCTCTTTTATCTTTCTTTGCGAATTGATCTGTTGGCGAGTGAGTGAATTCTCGAGAGATCTAGGACTTAGATCGCACAAATTGGTATCAGAGCCAGGTTACGGCTAGGGAAAGCGGATCGATTCGGAGATCGAAGAAGATGGCGACGTCGCGAGCAGAGATCCCTCAGTTCGATGGATCGGGCGATTTCACAATTTGGAAGAAGAGGATGTTGGCGAACATCACAGTTCAAGGATTAAAAGATCTTCTCGCCGAGAAGGAAGTAGTTACGATGACGGAGCAACAGATCCTTGAAGAAACTCCGGCAGCAAGGAAGAAGTGTCTCGACGACGAAGCAGAGCTCCTAGAACGAGATGACAAGGCACTCAACCTGATAATCATGTACGTCGGCGATCGAGTTCTCAGGAAACTTGACAAATGCAAGACGGCGGCTCAAGCATGGGAAACGCTCGACAGACTTTACATGGAGAAGACTCTGCCGAATCGAGTTCACGCAGAGCTCCAGGTTTACTCGTACAGAATGGTGGAGTCTCTGAGCATCGATCAGAATGTGGATGGATTCTTGAAATTGATTGCAGATCTGAGCAATCTAAGCATCGACATTCCTGATGAGGTACAAGCTATCTTACTCCTTAATGCTCTTCCCGCGAGATTTGACTATTTGAAAGAAACCTTGAAATATGGTCGAAACTCTATAAAATCTGAAGAGGTTATTAGTTCTGCTAAATCGAAAGAACGTGAATATAGTGACTCTGCTGGTCATAAGACTATCGGAGAAGGTCACTATGTAAGAGGTAGAACGGAATTTAGGGGCACTAGCAATGCAGGTAAATTCAACAAATACCGATCAAGGTCAAAGTCTAAGGATGGGAAGAGAGTTTGCTGGATATGTGGAAAGGAGGGACACTTCAAGAAACAGTGCTACAAATGGCTGGAGAAAAACAAGGAAAAGTCACATTCACAGGACAATGGCGAATCAGCACTGGCCAGAGATGATGCCAAAGATCTAGTGGGTTTGGTTGCTTGTGAGGTTAATCTGATGCGGGGAAATAATGAGAAGGAAGAGTGGATACTTGACACAGGCTGCTCATTCCACATGACACCAAGGAGAGACATGTTCATAGACTTCAAGGAAGCATCATCCGGAAAAGTCAAGATGGCGAACAGTACACACTCAGAGGTGAAAGGGATCGGCTCAGTAAGATTCCTGAATCCAGACGGCACAACGTTCGTGCTTCATGACGTGAGGTACATGCCAGAGATAGGAAGGAATCTCATATCCTTGGGGACTCTCGAGAACAAAGGCTGTGAGTTCAAGGGGTCACAGGGAGTCCTTAAGGTGGTCAAGGGATGCATCGTGATTATAAAGGCATCTAGGCAAGATAATGATACACTCTACGTTCTACAAGGATCAGCAAAGTCGTCTGAGGCCAACAATGCAGAGACGAGTCAAAAGAATAACCAAGAAGATGATACTCAGCTGTGGCACAGTCGTCTAGGTCACGTCAGACAGAAAAACTTGGATGTTTTGGTCAAGAAAGGCTGCATAGAGAAGGGAAAGGTCTCAGAGCTGAAGTTCTGCGAAGATTGTGTGATCGGCAAGACGCACAAAGCAAGTTTCGGGCCAGCTCAACACGTTACTAAGGAGAAACTGGACTATATTCATTCTGACTTGTGGGGCTCACCAAATGTTCCACCAAGTCTAGGGAGATGTCAGTATTTCATCTCGTTTACTGACGATTGGTCCAGGAAAGTGTGGTTGTACTTTCTTAAGACGAAGGATGAAGCATTTGACAAGTTCGTCGAATGGAAGAAAATGGTTGAAACACAATCTGAGAGGAAAGTCAAGAAGCTGAGGACAGATAACGGGTTAGAGTTCTGTAACATCAAGTTCGATCAGTTCTGCAAGAGTGAAGGAGTAGTGAGGCACAAGACTTGTACATACACACCTCAACAAAATGGGATCGCAGAGAGACTGAACAGGACCTTGATGAACAAAATTAGGAGCATGTTAAGTGAAAGCGGTCTAGAGCAAAAGTTTTGGGCTGAAGCGGCTTCAACAGCGGTGTATCTAACCAACAGGACTCCGTCTTCAGCAATTGAGTTTGATATTCCAGAGGAGAGGTGGACATCAGCAGTGCCGAGTCTCGAAAGTCTGAGAAGGTTTGGATGCATTGCCTATGTTCATTCGAGCGATGGAAAGCTCAATCCAAGGACAAAGAAAGGAATCTTCACTGGCTATCCAGAGGGTGTTAAAGGCTTCAGAGTGTGGCTACTTGAAGAAAGCAAAGTCACAATAAGCAGAAATGTCGTGTTCAGAGAGGATGTAGTCTACAAGGATCTCAAGTCTGAGACAAATTCAGGTAATCCTCTCACAGAACAAGTTTCTACTGATACGTTTGTTAGTGTAGACATTGCAGGTAATAACAGGGACAATGTTCAAGGTGGAGCTATTCAGAATGAGAATCATCCTCAAGAAGATCAGAATGAACAGCTGGTAACACGGATGTTCAGGATCTTGCAGATTATCAGCTAGTGAGAGATAGGCCAAAGAGACAAGCAAAGCTGCCAGTGAAACTGGAAGATTATCAACTGGAAGAGGATTTTGAGGATATTGCTGGTTATGCCTATCTGATAATTGAGGATGGAGGAAAACCAGAGCCAGGATGCTACGAGGAAGCGTTAAGTGATCCAGACAGTGAGTTATGGGTTGATGCCAGCGACGAAGAGATTGCATCTCTAATGAAGAACAAGACCTGGATTTTGGTAGACAGAAGGAAGGATAAGAAGGCGATAGGATGCAAATGGGTGTTCAAGCGAAAGGCAGGAATAGCTGGAGTTGAGGCTCCACGGTTCAAGGCAAGACTGGTAGCCAAAGGCTATTCACAGAAGGAAGGGAACGACTATCAAGAAATCTTCTCACCAGTAGTGAAGCACGTCTTCATCAGATTTCTGTTGTCAGCGGTAACTCATTTCGACATGTAGCTGCAACAAATGGAGGTGAAGACGGCTTTTCTACACGGATACTTGGATGAGGAGATTTACATGGAGCAGCCTGAGGGATACGTTGACAAGGATCATCTAGATAAGGTCTGCTTGCTGAAAAGATCACTGTATGGGCTTAATCAGTCACCAAGGCAGTGGAACACCAGGTTCGACGAGTTTATGCAGTCAAACAACTATCAACGTAGCGAGTACGATGTTTGCATCTACTACAAGGAGCACAAAGACGGAGAGTTTGTTTATCTACTGTTGTACGTTGATGATATTCTCATCGCATCCAGAGATAAGAAACTAGTAGAAGATTTGAAGAAGCTTTTGAGTTCAGAGTTCGAGATGAAAGACTTGGGCGAAGCTAAGAAGATCCTAGGCATGGAGATTACAAGAGACAGATCCAAAGGAATTCTCACTGTCTCTCAAGAAGGCTACTTGACGAAAGTGTTAGGGAATTTCGGCATGGATCAAAATAAAGCCACTGGGACTCCATTAGGTGCTCATTTCAAGTTGCAGGCAGCTACAGAGAAACAGTCCCAGGATCAGCGAGAATCAATGAAGAATGTCCCATATCAAAGCGCCGTCGGAAGTCTAATGTACGCGATGATAGGGACGAGGCCAGACTTAGCTTATGCAGTTGGATTGGTTTGCAGGTTCATGAGCGATCCGATCAAAGATCACTGGGCAGCAGTGAAGTGGATTATGAGATACGTTAATGGTACTTTGAAGAGGAAGTTGGTCTACAAGCGAGAAGGAGAGTTCGTCATAAAGGGCTATTGTGACTCAGACTATGCAGCGGATAAGGACAAGAGACGTTCGATCTCAGAAATGGTTTTCACAGCTGGAGGCAATCCGATAAGTTGGAGATCGAATTTACAGAAGATTGTGGCTCTCTCCACAACTGAAGCAGAGTATATGGCGTTAGCGGAGGCAGCTAAAGAGGCAGTTTGGTTACATGGTCTAATGAATGAACTTGGGTTCAAGCAGGAAGCGGTACAGATCTACTGTGATTCTCAGAGTGCCATTGCTTTGGCAAAGAATGCTGTTTTTCATGAGAGGACGAAACACATTGCAGTGAAGTTTCATTTCATCAGAGATTTGATCAGTATGGGGTTAGTTCAAGTTTTGAAGATAGCTACAAAGTACAATCCAGCGAATATATTGACGAAGGTTCTACAAGTTGGGAAGTTTCAAGAGGCTTTGAGATTTCTCAGAGTGAAGGAAGATTGAAGTTTCAGAACTCCTTAAGTTATTAAGCTGAGCGGGTTTGTTCAGAAGACAGTCTAAAGCTGAATGGGTTTATTCAGAAGTTTTATGAAGGTGGAGCGAGTAGTAGCTCCGGGATGACGGTTGTTCATCAAGCTCCTAGAATCAAGAAGACGATACAGGACAAGGTGGAGATTTGAAGAACAAGTGTCATGGTATCGAGGATCTCAATTGGCGGCTCAGCTCCGGTTTAAGCCTTGACCGGGTACACATGTGTTCACATCGGATGCGTTTGTACTAAGCTGTAAAACGGTGTAGTTTAGTCCTCCTCTCTTCTTAAGGGAATAATATAATCCCTTAGCTCGTATTCTGGATCTAAGTTGTTGTAACAGAAACGAGAGAGAGTGAGAGACGCTATTGTAGATCGGAGTTCGAGCTTTGAGCTCAGATTCTAGTGGAAACAGTTGCCGACAAAGCCGTGCCCCAGGAGAGTAGGAAACGAACTCCTGGGTGACCAATTTCGTGTCTTTTTACTTTCTGCATTCTTCTTCACTCTCTTCTATCTTTCTTTGCGAATTGATCTGTTGGCGAGTGAGTGAATTCTCGAGAGATCTAAGACTTAGATCGCACACATAAAATATGTATTTGTCTTTTCTTTTACTTTCTGAAATCTACTACACCATGAGCTAACGACAAAAACGAACATATCTATGGTAAATCAAAATGTACAACGTTGTTTTTCGTAATTGAATTGTTAAGCCAAAATTATTTTAACATTTCGCTAAGCCATTGTTCTCAATTTCGGACGACAATAATGACTTAATGAGCTTATCTACTTCTCTTTTTTTGTCTCTAATTGAACCAAAAAGTCATATACATAAGATTTCTTTGTTTGTTTTTTTTTTGACGTAAAAGAGAAATTCTGTTTATTTTTAAAAATCTTAGTTAAATATTGATTCCATTTTGCTTCTGATTTGGTGAACTACCGTTCTTTCTTTTGGATGCTTTTTTGGGGTTTTTTCTTCATTCTTCACAATGGTGGGGTCGTGTCACGTCCTTTCACGTATACCTTCTTCCATTATTACATACCTTTATTTCAATATATTTCATTTATGATTTTTATCTGATATGACTTGATCTGATTTGATTTGATAGGATGATGAAATTGTTCGGAATGGTTGCAATAGTTGAAGCAATATAATCACTGTACAATATGTATGGTTGGTCGTGTAATCAGAATCATTGTTTTGATACAATTTAAATAAGAGAATGAAACAAATGAGGATAACTTTTTTGTTAAAATAAGAGAATGAAAACAAATATGAACGGTACTTAATTTTTCTTTCAAGGAAGTATACTTCGCAAAACCACATCTGAAATGAGAGTAAATATTTCTGTGGGATTTTTTTTTGAATAAAATATATTCATTTGTGTTAATATTAGTTAGTTTTAAGTTTAACCAAATAGCATTTGGCCTTATGGTAAAAACTTAGGGTGACCCGCGCTTCGCGCGGGAATTGAAATTGTTGTGTTGATTTTATTATTTTTCATAAATTTAATTTAATTCTATGATTTATTATTATTTTAAAAATGTCATACACATATTAATCAAATATAATTAGGGTTACTCAAAAATTTCCGAAAATTAAATATAATTAAGTTTACGCAAAAATTTTGAACCATCATTTCTCATTCCTCCCATTTTGTTCCTTTTATCATGTCCGTTCTTTCCCGTCCCATTCGCCATGTCCGTATCGTCACGTGCAATCCCATCATGTCTGAGACTGTTCCATCCCGTTTTGTCCAGTCTCATCCCGTTCTTTCCGTTTCTTTCCGTCATGTCCCTAAATATAATTAGGGATATGCTAAATTCACTTTTTTCCGTTCCATTATGTTTCTTTTCATCCCGTCCTTTCCGTCATATCCATCCCGTCTAGTCCCATCCTGTCTCATTATGTTTTTTCCTGTCTTGTCTTGTCCCATCTTGGTCTTTTTGTTTCTTCTTGTCCCGTCTCTAAATATAATAAGAGGTAGGCAAAATTTACCTCCTATCCCGTTCTATTTCCCATCTCGTTCCTCCCCGTCCTATTCATTCACATACCGTTTTGTCTCGTCCGTTCAGTCCTCGTTCTGTTTTTTCCCGTCTCGTATTGCCCCATCCCATTTCCTCCTTCTTCCCGTCTCGTTCTGCCTTGTCGGGTATAATTTTGGCCTCGTTATGTCCCGTCCTGTTTATTCCTTCTCGTTTCCGCCTTGTCCCATTTTGCACCGTCTCATTCATTCTCATCTCATTTTTCCTCATCATGTACATTTCCTTTCCGTCTCGTTCCTCCCCGTCCTATTCATTCACATACCGTTTTGCCTTGTCTCGTTCATTTCTTTCCATTCTGCCTTATCTTGTTTCTTCATGTCTTGTTCCACCATGTCCCTTTCTTTTCTATCCCGTTTTGCCTCGTCAAATTCATTTTCGACTCGTCTTGTTTCTTCCCGTCTCGTTATCATACAGTTTTGCGTCATTCCGTTCATTTTATTATTATTATTATTGTTAAATTATTAAAATCTATTTGATAAAACTAAAATTATTAAATTAGAATTTATTTAGATCAATATATAAAATATTTTCTTATACAAAATGACTTTTCAAATTCTATTATGATTAAGTGATAGATGTAATAAATTATTAGTCTTAAAAGAGAATTGGAAGAGCATTGTTTAAAAGAGAGTTTGCTGACGTGGCGCTCCCAGAAGAGACCCCAACTGTGTTTTATATATATATATTCGGGTCATAGTTTAAGAATAATTAATCACAAGGGATTATTACATATGCATTTGTTTAGGCTACTTCATTACATGAGTTAAAGTTGTAGTACATACTACTGGTTCATTTTTTAGATGTTTGAGACAGGTTAAGAGGTAACTTGATTATAGAAAGGATCTCACTATCTGAAAGTTGAAACCATATAAAATGGGCAGTCATATACTGCGTTATGTGTGCTTGAGTGAATAATTGTCGATTTAAACCCTATATCTTTTAAATATTTAATATTACAAATATCCCTTTCATTTGTAATTTTTACTCCATTTTTATTGTTGGCAATGGTTTGTACTTAGTACTTTCCTCGATTTATTAATTTGTAGACATGTTCCCCGGAGTACGATTTTTTTAGTGGGCCCAAATGTAGGCACGCTTGTGGGGGCCCATAAAGAAAAGACGAAAGATTGCGCCGGTATTATTCGCGGGGCCCACATCTTTAATTGGTCGCCTCTTAATTAAATAAGAAAGCATTTGTCAAAGCACGATGTTTGTTTTTTTTTTTTGCTTAATGGCTGAGAATTAAAAGAAGTTTACAAGCCTAGACCAAGACTAGTGTTTTGGGTTTTCGCCCATAGCTAAAGAAAAGCAACACAATTGAACCAAACCATGTTCATCAAGAGACGATAAGATGTCATATCAATGATTTTAAGAAATAAGTCAAACAAAATTTATGAACTTAAAAACAAAGATTTGTCATATTTTACTAATTTTACCTTATATAACTAGATATGCATACCTACAATTTATATTATTGTTGGACTATATTTTTACATATAAGTTTTTAAAATATTGTTATTTTATTATGTTATGGATTGTTTTTTGTACACTTCAGTATGGTTCTACTATGTATGTCTGTTTTTTTAGTTTTTTTGTTAAGTGTTGCCTAATACTATCATTAAAAATGGGCCAATCTCAAAATTGTTAAATGGAAGCGATATATCCAAATTTTGAAATATGGAAAGGTTTTTTTTGTTTGGTATTAAATATGGAAGCTGTGACATATAAATGGGAAGTTACAAATTTACAATATCATATGAAAACGTAAAGGCTACTTAAATCGACGAGTTAGCTAGAATCAGGGTTTTAGTGTTTTTGTTGTTGCTGCTGCTCTCGTCGTCTCACTCACAGCGTTCAGGTCTCGTGTCTGGTCTCGCTCCTCTCTGTTTCACGATTGTGTTCATTCGGTAGCGTTACTCGCACGCTTCCCTAATCATGGTGCAGATTTTGTTTTTACGATATTTATCCCCGAATCTGAAAGATTGTGAGAGATATGAATCTATGTCTTGGTTATGGTTTTGCTTAATTTTCAGTTTGAATCGGAGAAGATGTTCACGGAGGAGGAGCTCGAGCGGAAGAAAAAGAAAAAAGAAAAGGTTTGACTTCCTCACATGCATTGACCCTGAGTATTGTTTTTCTTTCATGTACTAATAATATGTGTTATCATTATAGGCTAGAGAAAAGGCACTTAAGAAGCAGAAAGCTTCGGAGAAAGCTAAGCTATCACAATTTAAGGTTCAAATCTCTGTCTCCAATCTTTGCGTTGGAATCTTACAAGTTATTTATATGCCTTAATGTTATGATTATAGGCAAACAATGCTCCTAAAAAGAGCACAAAGAAAAGTACAAAACGATCATATGATTCAGAGAACCCTGAGGATTTTGTTGATCCAGAGACTCCTCTTGGCGACAAGAAAAGGCTTTCTTCAAAGATGGGCCAAACAATTTAACCCTGTTGCTGTAGAAAAATCGTATGCCTCTCCAGAGCTTTTTTTTCTTCTTGCAAATATCTTTGTAATCAACACTGTTTTGATTTGTTCCAAATTTGACAGTTGGTATGAATGGTGGGAGAAATCTGGATTTTTCAAGGCAGATGCTAAGAGTTCAAAACCAGCTTTTGTTATTGTAAAGTCCCATACTAGAATCTTTATTCATAATACTAGTATACAGAGATATTCAGTATTTGGTTTAATTCACATTCTCCATGCAGATTCCTGCCTCCTCCGAACGTGACTGGAATCTTGCATACCGGTCACGCACTAACATCAGCCATAGAGGTTTCTTCTGGCATATTTGTTTTGATTAGTGGTCAGAATATGCTTCTGTTGGTTTTCCTAAAAGCTTACTTATATAATTTGGTGATTCAGGACACAATTATTCGTTGGAAGAGAATGTCTGGTTTCAATGCTTTGTGGGTTCCTGGTGTTGAGTGTTGACCATGCTGGTATAGCTACACAGGTTTGCAGTTTTTACAAAAATAAAATAATGTATTTTTAAGGCATCTGTGAATTTGTTAAAGCACTGGTCATAAAGACTAATAATAAGACTCTAATTGTATACATTGTAGATTAAGGTTGAAGATAACCTCATTTGTGAAAGAGGAATGAATCGACATGACCTTGGACGTGAAGAATTCCTTCAAGAAGTGAGTTAAAAATAATCTGATTTAGCATTTTCTTTATTCATTGCATATCCATTGTGATTGTTTTCTGATAACGTATAGGAGCTTCCCTTGATTGGTCTCGTGAGGTAAACAAAGATTTGTATCTTCACCTCTTTCTTTGAGCTATCTATACACTTCATAAGTGTTTTCTATTTATAACTTTTGTAGAGTTTTACGATGGACGAGCCAAGATCAAAAGCTGTCAGTCTGTCACTGAGGCCTTTGTACGCTTATACAAGGAAGGCCTTATCTATAGACTATAGGTAAACGTTTTTGTACCATTTTTTGCTATTTAGTCAACTTGTTAAAAGGAAATCACTAAACTCAAGGGAAAATGCTTTGGATTGGCAGAGATAATCGGATTGTTAATTGGGATTGTAGCTTAAGATCAGCAGTATCTAAACTTGAGGTAAGTCAAAGTCAAAAGCATTTGGTATCTCTATAATTTGTTTGAATTACATACATGCTTCTTATGTGTTCTGCATATGTAGGTTACTCATATTGACATTAAAGAAAGAACACTTCTACAAGTAGCAGGTTATGAGAAGCCAATAGAGTTTGGTGTGATCACTTCGTTTGCTTACCCTCTCGAAGACGGTTTCGGAGAAGTTATTGTCGCCACTACTAGAGTTGAGACAATGCTCGGTGATAACGCCATTGCTATTCATCCTGATGATGCAAGGTACAAGCATCTTCAAGGAAAGTTTGCTCTTCATCCATTCAACGGACGGAAGTTACCAATCATCTGCGATGAAACACTCGTCGATCCAAGTTTTGGTACTGGTTGTGTTAAGGTATGAGCACGTTTCTTGTATGTTTCTTGAGTTTGTGTCAAGAAGAATCAATATTTTACTTTTCTTCTTTTTCTTGTAGATTACTCCAGCTCATGACCACAATGATTTTGAGTTTGGGATACGCCACAATCTGAGATTTATAAACATACTCACTGATGATGGTAAGGTCAACACTAATGGCGGGGTTGAGTTCGCAGGGATGCCACGGTTTACGGCTCGTGAAGCTGTTCTTGAAGCTCTCACGAAGAAGGTAAATCTTTGTCTAACACTAACTTTTAGCGATTGCAAATGATATGAAAAAAACTTGTAATTGTCTTTTTAGTCCAGGGGTTGTACAGAGGAGACAAAGACAACGAAATGAGACTTGAGCGTTGTTCAAGAACTAACGATGTGATTGAGCCAATGGTAAAGCCTCAATGGTACATGAAATGTGACGTGATGGCCAAGGAAGCTCTTGATGTTGCTATAAATGATGATGAGAAAAACATAAAACTCGAGTTTATACAAAGACACTACACAGCAGAATGGAGAAGGCAAGATTTTTTTTTTGTCTTCTGTAAATGTTTTAGTAAGAATGTCTCATCGATTTAACATTTTCAAGAACTTGATCTTATACAGATGGTTAGAGAACATACACGACTGGTGCATTTCAAGACAGCTTTGGTGGGGACATCAAATACCAGCATGGTATGTAACTCTAGAAGAAGATGAAACGAAAGACATTGGCTCTTACAATGACCATTGGATCGTCGCTAGAAGCCAAGAAGAAGCTCTAAAAGAAGCTGTCCTTAGATTCTCCGGGAAGAAACTCGAGCTCTCTAGAGATCCTGATGTTCTTGACACGTGGTTCTCCTCTGGGATCTCTCCTTTATCTAATTTAGGATGGCCTGATGAAACTGACGACTTGAAAACATTCTATCGAACGACCGTTCTTGAAACCGGACATGACATTCTCTTCTTTTGGGTTGCTCGCATGGTTATGCTCTGTATGAAACTTGCATGGACGCAAAGTGTCAAAGTCTGTTGGAAATGGCATAGATCCTCTTGAGATCATCGAAGGACAGACTCTCTCTGGTCTTTTCAAGAGGTTAGAGACGAGTAACTTGGAACCCAAGATGCTTGTTTCTGCAAAAGAAGGACATTCCAAAGATTCTCCAGATGGTATCCCTCAATGTGGTGCTGATTCTCTTCGTTTTGCACTTGCTTCTTACACAGCTCAGGTACTAAAACCATCACAGCTAGACTCTTTTTTCTTCTTGAATTGTGTATATATGTAATCTTATAGAACTTTGTTTTGTTTCTTGTATAGTCTGATAGATTAAACATGGACATCCTCCGAGTTCTTGCTTACCGACAATGGTGTAATAAGCTATGGAACGCGGTGAGATTCGCGATGTTGAAGCTCGGAGATGGTTACACTCCTGTGTTGACACTTAGCCCTGAGGAGAAAACGCCAATGATCTGCAAATGGATTCTTGCTTCACTAGACAAGGCGATATCAAAGACGGTTGGTTCTTTGAATGCCTATGAGTTCTCTGATGCAGCGAACACGGTTTACGCTTGGTGGCAGTACCAGTTTTGCGATGTGTATATTGAAGCAATCAAGCCTTATTTTAACCGAGATGAGTTTGGTTTAGAGAGGATTCATGCACAAAACGCTCTGTGGGTTTGTTTGGAGACTGGTTTGAGATTGCTTCATCCGTTTACGCCTTTTGTTACTGAAGAGATTTGGCAGAGATTGCCTTGGCCTAAAGACTGTGAAAGGAAAGCTTCTATCATGATTTGTGACTACCCATCTTCTTTAGAGGTGGGTTTCTATGTTTTCCAAATAGCTTCTTGATCTATTTTTTCCGGTTATTAACACATCTTGATTGCAGAAGTGGAAAAACGAAAGGTGGAAGCTGAAATGGAGATGATTCTTGCGACTGTGAAGTCTATAAGAGCAAGAAGAGCTGAGTTTTTAGAGAAACAGAGAAAAGAAAGGTTTGTTACTGATTTTGAGGATATAACGTGTTTGTCAAGTTTTTGTTTTTTTTCTTCTGCTATAACGTTTTTTTTTCTTTTTCATAAGGTTACATGCGGCTGCTCTGTGTGAAAACGAGTTAACATTAGAGACAGTGCCGTGCGAAGGGTTTTCGGGGCCTAAGGCAAAAAGTTAAAAAAAAAAGTTCTATGTTTTTTTAACAATAATTATAACTTAATTTAAAAAAAAATTGTTAGTTATTAAATAAAAACACATTTACTTTGGAAGGAAATAGGTTTCGAACTTGTGTTGGTTCAATAAACATTCTTCATTCTTTCTTTAAACCACTATATTACTATATACTTTTTAAAATCAGGGGCCTTAAAATTGTATAATATTTAGGGGGGTTTGAGGCTAATGCCTTTTTGATTACATGGTAAGCACGCCCCTTATTAGAGACTGTAAAGTCCTATGAGTTAGAGATTAGAACACTTGCAAATCGATCTCTCATCATTGGAGGTAAATATTTCATTTGATTGAGTTTGTTTAATCTCTTGTTTCTTATGTTTTGTTTTTTACTAAATTTTTAATGTGGAACTTTTACACAAATAGGTTTTGTTAAGAGGAAGAGACGAACATGCAGCTCTAGCTGGATCTGTTTTTGAGACGGTGAACGAGAATCTAAAGGTATATCTCAAACTTGATGAAGAAGCTATTGACACAGAAGCTGAAGGTGAAAAAATCAGAAACAAGATTGATGAGTTAAAAAAGTGAGTTTTATTTATTTAACCCATAAGAAGAACAAAGAGTAATTGGATTATGGACAACTAGTTTTATTCTTGTTCAGCTTATTGCCAGCTACTTATTCTCTACTACTCTATTAATTTGATCAGGCAAAAGGAGAAGTTGCAGAAGATTATGAGTGCGAGTGTGTACGAAGAGAAGGTACCTGCTAACATAAAAGAAGACAACACGACCAAGCTCGCAAAGCTTCTTCAAGAATTTGAATTTCTCAAGAATCTTGAATCAGAGACCCTTCGAAAGTGAAACAAAATATTGTGATGCAGCCTAGGGATTTTGCTAAATACTTTACTATTTTACTAGTCATTTAAAATTAAAGCTTTTAGGGTTTTACTATAACCCATATCTGTTTGATTTCATCCTCTAAATCTGCCTTTGAAACAGGTAACGAGAGACAACAGAAATTGTTGTTATTTGCATTTCTAGTTACATGTTTTTTTCCAAGAAACACTGAAGTACATCAGAAAATGTTGTAATATATGAAAAATCATAACAATTTTATATATAGCCATAAAATATAAAATTTTATTTCATTTTACTCAATACATCAATATTACCAATCACTCAACATAAATCATAAAGAAAAAAATGAAACCAAAATAATGCGACCAGCATGAAAGGAAAAGTGTTTAAACTTCAAAGAGAGCATAAATAAGGATAAAAAGCAACAAATAATATTATTTTTGGAAAATTTGTTTATAATCAGCAAATCTTGTTCTTGTTAGTCTGCTTCGACGCCACAAACTTCTTCCAGTACGCCGTAACATCCCTCGTCGTCTCCTCTTCCGTCTTCTTAACACCGTTAACTTTCCCGTTAGCCATCTTGGCGTGAACCCTAGCCGGAAGCGTATCGAGCTCGTGAAGAACCTTCTCGAAGTCCAACACCAACCTCTCAGCCAAGGTTCGAGAGAAATCCTCACGGATCACAACTCGAAGAACGGTGACGTGCTGCGCATCCGCCGGCATCGTGTACGCCGGAACGATCCACCCGAAACGGCGGAGCGTTTCCGCCACCTCGAACTCGCTGTGGCGGCTACTGTCTTTTAGAGAAAACGCTACTAACGGAACGCCGACTTCTTTCGAGACAATGTTAAAACGTCCCATTTTCTCTAGTCCTTCTCTCAACACCATCATGTTTTCGCGGCAATTATCCATCACGTTTCGATATCCCTAAACAAACAAAAAAAAACATTATTAATTAATTTATTCAATGATGCCACATATATATCACTTTTTTTTATCTAAAGATTTTTTATTCACATTTGGTAAATCTGAATTACTAATTACCTCGAATCCAAGACGAATCAGCTGATAGTACTGAGCAATCACTTGACTTGAACCTGGTTTATGATTATAAGCATTAACAAATTATTAGTTTATAGAACATTATATTATGCATGGTTCTATAATAATGATGTAATAATGTAATACCTTTGGAGAAGTTGAGAGTGAAAGTGGGTTGATCGGCGCCAAGATAGTTGATATGGAAGATAAGTTCATCAGGCAAATCGGCTTTGGTTCTCCACACAACCCAACCGATTCCAGCGTAAACCAAACCGTATTTGTGACCACTCACATTGATGCTCTTAACCAACGGTAAACGGAAATCCCACTCCAGCTCCGGATACAAGAACGGAGCAATGAAGCCACCACTCGCTGCGTCCACGTGAATTCCGGTATCCCATCTGCAAATTTATCAATTTTCAAGAAAACGTTAAACCGGACTCCAACGGGTTTAAGTCGATTAATTGCTAGTATCTTGTTTATCGGTTTGTTTTTTAATTACCCGGTTTGCTTGTTTTTCTCGACGAGGAGGTCGTTGAGGAGCTTCACGTCTTCGAATTCTCCGGTTAGCGTCGAACCAAGGATGGCTGCGACGCAGATTGTGTTCTCGTCTACCATCTCCACCGCTTGTACCGGGTCCATCACGTAATATCCTTCTCTTAGCTTCACTTCCTTAAGCTCCACCTCGAAATACCTTGCAAATTTCTCCCAACAAACCTGTGTTGAACCGGAATTTGAGTCAAACATAGACCAAAACCGGAATTCCCAATTTTTTGGTATAACAATTTTTTGGTAAAGAGCTAAAAGCCAGTTTGATTTGTTTTGGTTTACCTGAACATTAGCTCCGGTTACGATATTGGGCTTATCATAAGGAAGCCCTTGGGCCTTACGCTTATTCTGCCACTGTCTCTTAAAAGCCAACCCCGCCAACATAATGGCCTCCGACGATCCCACGGTGCCGACACCAACGGCGGCCTCGCCGTCACCGAGCTGCGCGTTGAAGAGGCGCGCGATCATGTTAACACATCGGTTCTGAAGCTCGGTGGTTACAGGGTACTCGTCCATGTCGACGTAGTTCTTGTTGATCGACTCCATCATGAGCTTGTCGCACTCTGGCTCCATCCATGTGGTGACGAAGGAGGCTAGGTTAAGCCTTGGGTTGCCGTCGAGCATGAGCTCGTCGTTGATGATTTGGTACGCTGCTTCCTTCGGGATCGAGTTCTCAGGCATCTCGAATCTGATGATCAAAACATTTTACGTTAGTAAATTAAAACATGCAAAATAAAAGAAAATAAAATAACACATGCAGAAGTAAAAAGACAAAAATGTGGTTCGCAGTTGATTTTTTTGTGTACCGTGGGAGAGAGTTGCGGACGTAACGAGAAGCAAAAGTTGAATGGATTGAAACATCGGATTCTGTTTTAGACAAAACCATTTTCTTTCAATTCGCTTGAATTCTCAAAAGATTTAGAAACGAACCAAAAGACGGTAGAGGGAAAGAATATGTAATAGTTTGTTTGTTTGTTGTTTGAAGAATGTGTGGAAATAGAAGGAGAAGAGCAAATGGTATATATAGTGATGAGTGAAGAGAAAGGTTCTCTTTGTTTCGGTTTGCAGCGTGAAAGGAAGCATCGTTGGTCTTTGTTTATGGGCTAGCTAACTTTTTTCTCATAGATGACTTTTCGTTATTATAATATTAAGACCAACGAATGATTGCTTTTAAAACTGAATATTATTTTAAATAAAATTAAACAAGTACCAAGTTGATATACTCATGCATGGAAGAAATAATTACTCTTTTCTACCGTGTTATTATTTTGTTAAAGTTCTACCGTGTTATTGGTTAGCCCAAACATTTTGAAATGGTAAGAATTTTTTTTTAATTTGCATGTTTTTTCTATAAAAAATATCGCTTTGTACGAGTCTAGGAATTAGTCCCTGTCACATGCTAGCCTCAAAATTACTATAAAGCAAGTTTTTTTTTAATGTTTTGGACTTGTTATATGATAATATAAAAAAATATAGTGACTTAATATTAAAAGTATAGTTTATGACAAGGTGGAAGATAAAATAATAATATTTATTTAATCGAAATTAAATAGTAAATTATTTATGTCCGCATAAACAAACATATGCTTTCTTTTTTTGGTTAAAGATTTTCATATAAACAAACATATGCTTATATGCGTATTTTACTACTGTTCGCCGACCAAAAAAATGTTTTTTATATCTTTCTTTTCCTTTTTCCGTTCTAATTATATAACATTCGACTAAAATAACATAGCTTCATGCCTTTTTCACATGCAAAAAATAAGGTTATCAACTTATTCTACTAATCATTTACGATAAAAGGTGAATGGAGATATTGAGTAGTAAGATTATCAATTTTACGTTGCATCTAAAAATATATGAAATGTAATATGAATGTAATTCTCTATGCTCGGGAGCCAATAGAGAATCCAATCTAATGAAGTTTTTGCTGATTATATTTTAATTTCTAAAATTACAAATTGCTGACCATTTCATCAATTTTAATTGACGTTTCTTCGTAAGAGTGGACATATATATTCAAATTTAATTGTAATATATAAAAATATATTAACTAACGTACTTGATTTGACTATCAAATTTTTTTTCCAATAACCGTAAATCTCGAGCCAAAATATATAATAATTCTCAAATATCAAGAAAAGCAAAATACTTTTTGTTGAGGATGTTTAATCCGGCTTCGTTTTCTTGTTTCACATTCTTAAATATAGCCAAAAAATTATCATTCCATCCGTATTTATTTTTTATAGCTTAGTTTGAGTTTGAATGATTTATTTGAATTAAACTAAACATAATTTATTATTATTTAAATTTTTACAAAATTCATCTATGATTAAAAATCAATGTGAAAGGACTATATTCGTCGATATATTCGTCGATATATTTGAATTAGACTATATTCGTCGATCGTTGTCACACCAAAAATAAAGAAAAGGAAAAGAATCCGGTTACTTGACGAATGACGATCACTAAAAGGTTTTTGATTTGACTATCCTTTGAAGGAATCGGAGGTCTTTGAATATTTTCTTCTCTTTTTAATTAAAAGTCAACACGATGCTGAAACATAATTGAATTGAAATGACTTTCTTTTTGTTAACATTTTCACACGAAAGATCAATTTCCAGTCATATGAACATCAACGCATCAACGCGTAAAATGTTTATAAATAATTAAGTACCAACACTACCATTGGCTTTTTTTTTTTTTTTTTTTTTGTGTGCAAACACTACCATTGGCTTTGATTGAGATTTTATAGCAGACTTTCGTTGAGGTGAGATTTACAGTAGACTTTTATTATACGTATATCAGTATATGTAAAGCATACTAGAAAAATTCAAATAAACATCAAATTCATGGACTGACCTTAATAAACAAAGTTAGGCGATTAATCAATGCTCTTATAGGTTTAGACTTTAGACTAGCCCGGGCTTGGGTTAATTAGCCATGTTGAAAACTACGACCAAATTATAAAGCATTGTTTTCTAGACTATCTTTTGTCGTTACGATTTATTTTAAAATGTTTGCAAAAATATGTTATAACATGATACATATAGTGAAAAAAGTTGTGATTGTCATTTTAGAATAGGATCGATCAATAATTAGCATTGCTCACATAATTTACATAATTAGTATTTTTAGTATAGTCCAATTATGCGTGTGAACGAGGCAAACGTACAAAATCAGAAAAGTCGACTCAGCGGCCAACGACGCGTCAGTCAATGGGAACCGGCTAAAAGGAGACGCCAATAGACAAATAAACTTATATCGGTATTTACGGGTTACCGGTTTATCTTTTCCAAGATCTGACTTTCCTTAATCAATGGCTTGCAGAGCAATGCAACACGAATTTTGAAAAACGCCATTCCTAATTGTGTCTGTAATTTCTTTTGACTAAGACGTTATAAATTATACTTTGTTTTGACTTTTACATGTGTTCACTTCTTTTTTTTTGTTCAAACATGTGTTCACTTTCTTCTGCATTACATTTACTGATCAGATCTACATATGCTTATTTAATTTAATTTAAATTTGTCAAACAATTTATATTTTTCCTTATAAACTAAAATTAATTTAATGTACAGTTCTGTTTTGGATGTTTAAAACTGGCCCATTAAGGATAACTTAAAAACCCACTAATATTTAAAACTCAACAGATCCAATAAGAGTGAAACAAATTTGTTAAATTGGTTTAAGTATTCACTTTCTGTTTTAAGAATATGGTTCTGTTGAGTGGTGACTAGTGAGTGACCCCCACTCACACCAACAACTTGGTCAGTGCAAGAATCATTTTTTTTTATATTGATTCTTCTTTGTCGACAAGCTTTATCAGCTTGTGTGAAGCTTTTCATGTCCAGGGGAAAGTAAAAAAAATGAGTTCCATTGATGAAGAAACGTCACTCCTCGAAGTTGAAGAATCTCTTTTACAGGTCTCATCCTCAAGGGTCTATGTAATATTGACTATCAATTACATTTGCAAAATTTGCTAGACTAGATAAATATTTCTTCAGTTCCAACTGTTAAATTATGTTTTAGCATAACTTATGATCTAGTGTCTTGTCTCTGACTCTGAGAACTCCTCTGACTCTATTTGCTTGTGACAAATTATGCTTTAGATAAGCCTATGAAGATGAATGTCTGATTTTTTTTTCCTCTTAGGAGGAAGTGAAATTGTATGCTGAAGATGGCTCAGTAGACATTAATGGAAACCCACCATTGAAACAGACAACAGGAAATTGGAAAGCTTGTCCATTCATTTTTGGTAATAGTTTATATTATTGCTCTACCTTTCATTTTTAATTGTATTACTTTTGATCATCTTGTCCTGTCTATAAAGTATGAACCTGTATGCTTGGATGCAGCCAACGAATGCTGCGAAAGATTAGCTTACTACGGCATTGCCAAGAATCTAATCACCTACTTCGCAAATGAATTGCATGAGACCAATGTTTCTGCGGCTAGACACGTCATGACATGGCAAGGGACATGTTACATCACTCCTCTCATCGGAGCTCTAATAGCTGATGCTTATTGGGGGAGATATTGGACAATTGCTTGTTTCTCCGCCATTTATTTCACCGTAAGCATCTCTCTTTCTTATCAAAGTGTTCCTGTCATGTTCTTTATCTTGCTGATGCTCTGTATTACACATCAAATCTTTTAGGGTATGGTTGCACTGACACTCTCAGCTTCAGTTCCTGGTCTGAAGCCAGAGAAATGCATTGGTTCCATCTGTCCACCATCAACAACGGCTCAGCGAGCGGTTTTGTTATCAGGGCTTTACCTCATCGCTCTCGGCACCGGAGGAATCAAACCATGTGTCTCATCATTCGGTGCTGATCAGTTTGATCACACCGATCCAAGCGAACGAGCCAGAAAAGCTTCTTTCTTCAACTGGTTCTACTTCTCCATCAACATCGGTGCCTTTGTCTCATCTACTCTTCTTGTTTGGATCCAAGAGATTAACGGTTGGGAATTAGGGTTTTTGATACCTACCGTGTTCATGGGGCTAGCTACTGTGAGTTTCTTCTTTGGCACTCCTCTCTACAGGTTTCAGAAACCTAGAGGCAGCCCCATTACAAAACTTTGGAACCTCTCCACTGTGACTACTCAAGTGGAAGAAGTTACGATTCTGTTACGTTTGGTTCCCATTTGGGCCTCAGGCATCGTCTTCTCCGTCCTCCACTCACAGATCTACACTCTCTTTGTCCAACAAGGACGGTCCATGAAACGAACCATGGGCTCCTCCTCGTTCGAGATTCCTCCAGCTTGTCTAGGCGTGTTCGACACGGCAAGTGTCTTCATCTCAGTCCCAATCTACGACAGACTCATCGTTCCCTTTGCGAGAAGGTTCACAGGGTTAGCTAAAGGACTCACCGAGCTGCAACGAATGGGGATCGGACTTTTCGTCTCTGTGCTGAGCTTGACGGTTGCAGCTGTCGTGGAAACGTTGAGGTTACGGTTAGCTAAAGATCTTGATCTTGAATTGACAATCTTGTGGCAGATTCCTCAGTACTTTCTTATGGGAACTGCTGGTGTGTTCTTCTTCGTTGGGAGGATAGAGTTTTTCTACGAGGAGTCTCCGGATTCGATGAGAAGCTTGTGTAATGCTTGGGCTCTTTTAACAACCACGCTTGGAAACTACTTGAGCTCGTTGATCGTTACGGTCGTGGCGTGTTTGAGTGGTAAAGATGATGGTTGGATTCCTTCGGAGAATCTTGACAGTGGCCATCTTGATTACTTCTTCTGGCTTTTGGTTTGTCTGGGCTCTTTGAACATTCCTGTTTTTGTATACTTCTCTGTGAAATACACTCAGAGGAAGGTTTGATCTATTCAAAACGTATAAATCTATCGGAATTATGAATCTGTAATGTCGAAACAAAGCTTGTAATTTTTTTCTGGTAAATTGGAGCTAAGATGTAGACAACCCGTGGTGAAGAAAGAAATGTTGACGAGGAGAGGAGAGTCAAAGAAGAGAGCAATTTTTCTTCGGTTAAGAGAAGAATTAAGGAACCTGATGCTAAGAGGGAGAGATCGTTTAGCAAGAGCGAGTTTTTCCGTCTAGAGATGATGATGATGATTCGAGAGTGTGGACCCAAACCAAAGACGACGAGTGCAACGATGCAGAGGTATTGAGAGATCGAGACAGAGTGTTTCATCGCCTTGAGCAAATCGCGCCTCGCGACGTTGGCGTTCCATCACCATTTGTTCGAGGAACGATTTGTTGGTGTGGTTGTTGTCGTATCCGATTTGCATCCCTCCGTATGCTACTTTCTTCCATTTGAGTGTCGGAGTTGAGTCTCCGGCGAGATTCCTCTCCATTGGGAGGTAAGAGGTTCCGGATTCTCGGATCCAGTGAGACTATGACTTCACAAAATTACTATAACATTTGGGATTTCCACGATACCTCGATCAAATCGATTTAGAGCAAACGAAACGGGAGGAAGGGGACGCAGCGAAGGACGTACGGTGGCGCGTAGGATCGACGCGTCTATTGTCAAATCGATTTTTTTTTTTTTTTTAATTCTCCACAAACGGAGTATCTTTTTGGGAAAAACAAATCGATTTATCTATACTAGGAGAGTACCCGCGTTTATATATTAATAATATTTTATTATTTGCTTTTTGTTCTAAATATTTTTACATTCTTTGTTTTTAAGTTGTGAGTATTTATGTGAGCGAATGGAGTAGTCAGTGAGCAATTCTTTCAAGTTCATAGAGAGCTCTCTGCCATGCTCCTCCTCCAACATAATATCAGCCACCAAATCTCGCTTGGGCTCCTCAGACTGTCAATTCAAGGGAGAAACGAAGCTTTGTGTATGTTGGTTCTTGATTCCTTAATAAAAAAAACAACCACCAAAAAAAAATATGCAAAGATAAGTTTTACATTATCTAAGACCATCTCCATCCCTAAAACCATGTTTTTGGTTCTAAATCATATTTTATTATTAATTTTTACACAAACCAATACTAACAACTTTTATGTGGTTTCTTAAATTTTTTCTTCCTCCATCTCTAAAACTTTTTATTTGGTTCTTAACCAAAAAAAAAAAAAAATTTACAAAAATTATACTTTTGAACATAAATTTACTCCGTAGCTCGACTTTCTTGAAAAGAGTTTGAGCTCTTTCCAAATCCCATTTCTTAAATAACCTTTGATCATGATGTTGCAAGACTGCAAATCAAAGCTCTTGTCGAACAGAGACTGCGCTGAAGCAATCAAACCAGACGATGCATACATACGAACAAAGACTTCTCGCCAACCTTCCATCGTGATCGACACTTTCCCAACCATTAAATAGAACTTGTGCGTGCACTTTCTGGCCAAGACGGTGAAAGCAACACCAACACCAACACCAAGCTTCTCTATAAAACTCATTCCAAGCAAACCCACTAATCATAGCGGTCCAAGAAACGACATTTCTCTCAGGCATTTCACAAAACAATCTATAAGCTTCATCAACATCTCCGTATCTGCAATAACCACACATTATACTCGTCCAAGTAACTACAATTTTCTCACTCATACTCTCAAACAAGACCTTCGCTTCCTCCAATACATCGTTCTGGATAAACCCTTTAATCATAGCGTTCCACGAGACAATATCTGCTAGGCATAGCATCAAACACCTGTTTCGCCTTCTCCATATCCCCATTCTTAATCAAACCACGTTTCTCTAAGGCATTTCTCTAATTCTCGATCGCATTGTATCCTGGGAAATGAAAAACTCCGTCAAACAACTATGACCAGAAAACCACTCTTTCCCAATAGGGATGTACAATAGAAACTCTGGTTTCAAGCATGAAAGCAACACCACATATGTATAGTGATCGTAACTCTGGAACAACTTGAACCAATCCTCAGCACACAATGCAAAAATTCACTATTCCATTACAATATAACCAATGTTTCCCCGTAATCTTACCATTTCATTCTCCCCTTTTCTCGGTGTACTAATACCGTCAGTGTACTAATACTGTCAAAAGAACAGCATCCTTTTGCTGTTTGAGTTGTTCTCTTTAGCCGAAGCTTCATTCTTGGCTCTTTTCTTACAAAGTGTTGTAAACCTGTTCTTCACTGCATTGTCCGTTCTACAAACACAAAGAACAGAACATAAATTAGTCACTTTGGTCCTTGTAATTAGGATGACTTTACGCACTATTAGAGCTTGATGGAGCTTTGATTCTACCTGCCTGAAACCACTTTGGCTATCTCAGCTCATCTATTCTCAAATACTCTTTGTGCCTAGGAAAGAACAACACGCATAAGCTTAAAGATGATCAGTCAAACATAAACCCAAAAACAAACCTAAGATCTTATCCATGCAATGAAAGTCTGTAAGTGAAGTCACCTCACACAAAAGCAATAAATCTTCTGCAATTTTCAGAGTAATGCAACGGGCAAGGGAAATATACTCTGATTCGAGCGGTGGCATCTTCACCGGACTGAAGAAGAACGACAATGTCACGCCTCATTTGCTTCACCACAGCTTGTCTTCTTTTCCAAAACCTTTTGCAATTTTCATCCCAATCAACGCGTAACGACCTCAAAGAGATTGAAGAAGGAGAACGACATGAGATGATGAGGATCGGATTCAGATTTTGCGGTTTCCTTGTTCGGATTCTGAGCTCACCGACAGAATCGTCGATCAGAGAAGAGAGAGTGATTGCAGACGGAAAATCGTGGATCCAATTTCTTCTCTTTTAAAAAAAAAAAGAGTAATCTACATCTTAGACGACTAAATTGAAGGTATGGTGATCACAATTGTAAGTGAACTTGCTATTGCTGGAGAAAGGAAGCTTCTGGAGACACTGCGCAGCAAATTACCGGTGAAGTCTTTGTACTCGGCAAGAACCATTGTGCCTCTGACGACGAAGTTGTAGATAAACGATTCTTGACCCATTGGGTTGCCACCGAGTGTCAACCGAGTCGGATTAGAGAGAGAGAGATTTGAAAGTGCGAGGGAGCCCTGTTACGGAAGATAGCTTGACGGAAGCCGAAAGATTCTGAAACGGATTGCCGTGAACCATGGCACGACGACGGTCTGTGTGAATCAGCGTAAAAGGAATGGAGAAGCTGGGCTAACCTATTTATAGGGTACGCGGGAGCAAGAGAGGTTCTCTAACGGATGGAAGCTAAACCGCGAAATCGGCCGCCTCAACGGGGAAGAGAGGAAGGCGACGGGTTGTTTTGTTTAATAAATAACTTTTTTTTTTAATGAAAGGAGCTGACGTGTCACTTTTTTGCTGGCAGCAACGAAAACGACGTCGTTTTGGAATAATTTATTTTTTCTAAAGGAACAAAACGACGTCGTTTTGGCGTTTGGAAGGAAAAAAAAAAAGAATGTGCCACGTGTCCCGAACAGAGAGTGTCCAAGCCTTATCTTATTATATAAAGCTGGATGCGCACAACGTGGTTGCGACACGTAGGATTTTTATAAAATATAGGATTGCGACATGTGTCACTTTTAATGTTACTTCCGTTAAGATCGTGACACATGTCTTGGGATTTTTTTTTTAAAGGGAAAATTTTAGTCTTTTATAATAAAAACGAAAATCTTATTATATAAATTGAAAATAATGTAATAAAAAATACTATTAGTATATGGAATAGGTATGTAAACTAAATATCCTAAAACTGTATGGAATAAGTTACATAAACCCCTATTTTAAAAATTCCTATTAGTACATGGAATAGTATGTAAACTAAAAAAAAAAATAAAAAAATTTTTAATCTTTTATAATAAAAACGAAATCTTATTATATAAATTGAAAATCTTATTATATAAAGTTGGATGCGCGCGACGTGGTTGCGACGCATAGGATTTTATAATTTACAGGATTGCGACATGTGTCACTTTTAGTTTTATGGTTGTTAAGATCATGACATGTGTCCTGAAAAAAATTAAAACAAAAATTTAGAAAAGAGAAAATTGTATCCATTATAGTAAAAGAAAACAAAATATTTATCATATCCTAACAGAAAAATGTTTCACATTCATCAAATATATACTGTCCAAACACATATTAAATTCAAATAAACAAAATCTATTAGTACATGGAATAGGTAAACACATATTAAATTCAATTAAACAAAATCTTAATAGTACATGGAATAGGTTATATTAACTAATCTTCAATTCTTAATAATGTATTAAATAAAATCGTTAACTGCATGAAATAGGTTATGTGAACCCCTATAATAGGTTATCGCGACATGTGTCAACTTTAATTTTACTCATATTAAGACTTTGATATGTGTTTTGAAAAAAAAGGAACAAAAAAACTATTTTAAAATGTGTTAAAAAAGGAAAACGTATATTGCAATATTCTAACGGAAAAAATATTCCATATTATAACGGAAGAAGGAAAAAGTATTTTTGCATAACTCATATTCTAAAATTAAAGAAATGAAAAAAATATATACTTCCATATTCAAACTGAAAAATGTTTCATATTCTAACGGAAAAGGAAAAAGAAAATATTTGCATGCATCATATAAATTTCTAACGGAAAAGGTAAAAAATAAACAAGAATACATAATTTAAGTTTTTGTGCATCTGTATGTCATTCAGAGATTCTTATGGGTTCTCAATATTATTTTATTTATTTTTTAAATTTAATTTATTATATTTTGTTTGATAATTTTTTGGTAATTTGTTTCAAAAAGTTTAAAATAAATCCCGCCGCGGGGCTTTATCTAGTTAGTTATGTAAATTTACCTACCTTGTCAGACATTCTCGAATAATTAATGTATCATAAGAGTCCACGATGTTCTGTTTTTTTTTTTTTTATGAATTTGTCGGCCAAAGGAATCGAATCTAAAAAACGATGGGTTCCATCGAAGAGGAAAGACCCTTCATCGAAAAAGGTTCTGTATTACAGGTTCGATCAAGTTTTGACTTTTTTTTTGAGAAATACCAATTACAAATTACAATTACGCCATGAAACAACAGTGATTTTTATATCTTATGGTTTTGATGATGAGTTAGTATTTTTATTTCAGTCAACTTCACTGAGCTCTTATCCGATTTTTTTTTCATCTGTTGTTACAATTTTACAATTGTGCTTAGCTAGCATTTTGGGTGGCGATTCTAGCGAGTAGCGATGAATGAATGTTATGACTTATAGCTTTATGGAAATGGAGATCGAATTAGTTTGTCAAAAACTGATTTTTCTTTCGTTCTTTTTTGGTCTGATTGTACAAGTTTGTCAAGACAGAGATTTCATTTTTTCCAGTTGACGAAGATGTTTATGAGATTTGTTTTAAAGCAGGAAGTGAAACTGTATGCCGAAGATGGTTCAGTGGACATTAATGGAAACCCACCATTGAAACAGAAAACAGGAAACTGGAAAGCTTGCCCTTTCATTCTTGGTAAGTAAAGCAAGCACCTTTATCCTGTTTCACCTTCAATCATTTCATGTTTCTTTAACCATTCTGTACCAATTTGCAGGCAATGCTGCGAAAGATTAGCTTACTATGGTATCGCCAAGAATCTAATCACTTACTTCACCACTGAATTGCACGAGACAAATGTCTCTGGGGCTAAGCAAGTCATGATATGGCAAGGGACGTGTTACATCACTCCTCTCCTCGGAGCTCTAATAGCTGATTCTTACTCTGGAAGATACTGGACCATTGCTTCTTTCTCTGCTATCTATTTCTTTGTAAGCTCTTTTCTCATAGACCTACCATCATTGACTTTGCAGTTGCATTGCTCTAAAGTCTTGTCCTTTTGTTCAGGGAATGGCTACACTGACACTCTCAGCTTCACTTCCAAGTCTAAAGCCAGCAACAAAATCTCAGTACGCAGTGTTCTACATCGGTCTTTACCTAATCGCTCTCGGCACTGGAGGCATCAAACCATGCGTCTCCTCCTTTGGTGCTGATCAGTTCGACGACACCTACCCTTACGAACGAGCGAGCAAAGCTTCATTCTTTAACTGGTTCTACTTCTCCATCAACATCGGTGCCTTCATCTCCTCTACTCTTCTAGTCTACGTTCAAGAGAATTGCGGTTGGGGCTTAGGTTTCTTGATCCCCACTCTTGTCATGGGACTCTCTCTCGTCAGCTTCTTCTCCGGAACTCCTCTTTACAGGTTTCAGAAACCCGGAAACAGCCCTATCACAAGCGTCTGCCAAGTTCTTGTAGCCTCATACCGTAAACAGAACCTCAAAGAAGACAACACACTTCTTTTCGAAACACTTCGAGACGACAAGATTGAGCACACTGATGGTTACAAGAAAGTAACATTACATATCTCATTTCTTGATTTTGATCTTTCAGAGTGTTCACCGGAAACTTATACGCAGGTTTCTTGACAGAGCCGCTTTAATCTCAGAAGACGGTGTCTCATCTAACCAATGGGAGCTATGTACAGTGACTCAAGTCGAAGAAGTAAAGATTCTGTTACGTTTGTTCCCCATATGGGTCTCAGGCATCGTCTTCTCCGCTCTCCATTCTCAGATCTACACTCTGTTCGTGCAGCAAGGACGGTCCATGGAACGAGTCTCCGGCTCGTTCGAGATCCCTCCAGCTACGCTCGGGATGTTCGACACCGCGAGTGTGCTCATATGCGTCCCAATCTACGACAGACTCTTCGTCCCTTTCGTGAGACGGTTCACAGGAAGAGCAAAAGGATTCACCGATCTACAGAGGATGGGACTCAGACTTGTCGCCTCTGTCTCGAGCATGGCCACTGCAGCGATCGTTGAGACAGAGCGGCTTCGTATGAGAAACCTCAACATCTTTTGGCAGATGCTTCAGTATTTTCTTATGGGAACGGCTGAGGTTTTCTTCAACATTGGCCAGCTCGAGTTTTACTACGAGCAGGCTCCAGATGCGATGAGGAGCTTGTGTAGTGCCTTGCCGCTTCTCTCGTCTGCGTTTGGGAGCTATTTGAGCTCGTTGATCCTCACGCTTGTGGCGTATTTCACGACGATGGACGGCGGAGACGGTTGGGTTCATTCGGAGGATCTTGACGGTGGACACCTTGACTACTTCTTCCGGCTTTTGGTTTGTCTTGGTTGTGTTAACATACCGGTTTTTGTCTTCTTCTCCATGAAGCACTTGCAGAAAAAGGCTACATGGGTTCCCATTTCTTCCTCTGTTTTATTCCTTCTTGTTTGGAATTTGTAAATATACGAAACATTTTGGGGGCATAGTGTAAAAGTTCTGATTATGTAATCCAAAAACTTTCAAGATCACAAAAAGAAAAGATGCAATGAAATCAGTTTCAATCCTTTATTATGGTTTCCGACTCTAATATGGTGAAATATATGGTTTCACGATTAAGTAATTCGACACTTAATGAATCCTGTAGCCTAATTGGCAAATAGTGCCACATGTTAAGCCTTGAGATGCCATCAGATTTTCGGATTTGAACCTGAGGTGGAATAGGCATAATGAGGAACTTTTCATAAGTTAGGGTTTTGTATATATATGGTTTTTCTAAATCTTTTGATTAACTCATTGAAACTAATACCAAAAAGTATAAGGCACGAACTCTAATTCACAATTGCCATACATGAAGAACATTGTAGTTCATCCAAACTGTATTTTACCATCATCAACCAAGAACACCTCTCATAACAATCAATAGAAAAACCAAGAACAGAAAAGAAAAAAAAGCAATTGGATTTTGCGGCATATGGAAAGAAGAATCCAAAACGATATTTATAAATCTAGGAATTAGAGTTTTTCAATTTTTTTTTTTTTTTTTTTTAAATCCAAATTTTATTGAAATAACGTTAGAGCTATAACACATAGTCATACAGTTTTTGTTTTAAAAGCTGGTGCAAACAGCTTCTAAAAGCTAGTGCAAATAATGAAAAAAAACGGTAACATATAATGAACCACAAACAACCGAATCTTCCGCTTCGATTGGCTTTTAGCGCAAAGGATCACAGTATCTCTAGCCACGTCCACCTCGGTTTCCACGTCCTCCGTTTCCACGTCCACGACCCATTATTTGCCAATGCATCTCCTTTGCCTTTGTTGATGGTTTAACTGGCCTGTCTCGGAGGATTCTCTTTCCATAAGGTGTTGTAAGATCCAGTGCATCCAAATCATCGTCTGAATACATTGAAACCTCTTCTTCTTCCGGAGAGGCCAACGAGGCAAACTTGTTAGAACCCAAATCAGGCTCAACTAATGTACTACTTTCCTTTTGACTAGTAGAGTGATCTTGAGCAATAGTAGTAGCGATATCTTGTAAAATCTGAGCAGACTCCACCATAGGAGTCTCAATAGTGTCGCTGATGGTGATAATTGGAGTCTCCGCCGTAGGAGTCTCAACAGTGTCATTAATGGTGATAATAGTAGGAGGATGTGCTATAGAGGCGGACATACTCTCAAGAATTGAGATTGTAGCCATCGAAATGAGATCATCTGATGTTGGATCAACAAAATTTGATTCATTACTTATGTTGACAAGGCTGTTAGAAGTAGTTACCTCGACGCCTGCATTAGGAGTTGAGTTAATTTGAACAGATTTGGGGATTGTGGCTGCCGTGACCACAGTGGTGACCTTCGAGTGTGTCTCAGTTGCTTTGTTATCAACTACTTTGCTTACAGCTTTTAAGCACCTCTTTACCTTGTGTCCAAGTTCGTCACATCTAGTGCATTTAGAGGGCAGCCAAGCATATTCCACATCAACCATGGAGATAAACCCATTTTCATCATTAGCAGCAATTTTTGGAAGAAACGCTTTGCTCAACTCAACCTCCACCAAAATCTTAGCTTCACCGGTGAAATTGGGATCTAACCTTGGTTTGTGGGTGGCCATAGGAGCTCCTAAACCAGAGGCAATGTGACTAATACCGGGGATAGAGTAAACTCTACTGGGTATTTTCTTTAGAGTTACCCACACTGGAATAGTTTTAATCTCAGGGATAGCTAATGATGCTTCCGGAGTCCAAGCAGCAACAAACATCAAGCAGTCATCAACATGCCATAACCCTCTTTGGAGAACCCAATTCCTAGTCGATTCATCAGGAATATAAAATAGGTAATTAGATTCACCAAGCTTCCTAATAGTAATTTTACAGTTCCTGCCCCACAACTGATTGAAAACAGCATATATCAGACCACCAGGAGGAGGAGCGCATCTATAAAACTGGCCTAAGACATATTCTTTTTGGTTCTCTAATCCTTGCAACAAGACATGTCGAGGAATGGTTACCTTTGGAGTTCCGTCTTCTAGATATTCCGGCTCAGTTGCCCTGTAAAGATTCCTTGATGCTGGATTCATTTTCGCAGCCAATGGAAACCGGATATCATCTTCCATCGCCATTGATTTTTGAGAAGTTACTTCCCGAGGCTGCTGATTGCGAATAGCCTTTGAGTCAGACAAAGAAGGCCATTTTTCAGAGTTGATTTTGGTGAAGCGAGAAGCTTGATAAGAAGGCGTGGCTTTTGAAAGGTTCAACTTCTTAGCCCATGCCCCTTTAAGTGAAGAAGATTGGATGGGACCGTGAACAAGATCTTCATTTGCACTGAAACTCTGTTCAGGAACAGAGACACCTAACTGAGACTCTGGTGAAGGGAGAGAAGAGCTCAAAGAAGCCTTTGGAGCCGAGGGAAGAGATGGAGACGCGGAGTTTTTCAAAATTGAGCGTGTCTTTTTTTTTTTTGTGTTCAAATAACTCCTTTTCATTAATTGCCAACTGTTCACTCTCCCGAAAGAAAACCTTGGAGAGATCGCTTCGCTAGAGCGTCTGCTACAACATTTACAGATCTCGGGATTGATCAAACATTACAGAGCTAAAGCATGAAGATAGAAAGGAGATGTCTTGCAAGATTCCGAAAATCTCCGATAGACTTGATTTCGAATTGATGGCGGTGATGAGTTGCTGGGAATCTGATGCCACATGCAAGTTTTTGAAGCCGAGGTCTAGAGCCTGACGGATTGCCAATCCCTCTGCAATTAGCGGTGAAGCTATGTTCTCAAAAGCTTTGAAGCCCTGGTTTAGTGTCTCTGAGGTGCTATTGTGGAAGATCCATCCCATTCCTCCCGATCTATGTTCTCCGTTCCAAGCTCCGTCCGTCTGACATCAGATGTAGTTTCCTGGTAGATTTACTATTGTATCTCTCTTTGGTAATTGACATGGCTTCGGGATCTCGTCTTGTGCTTGGATCCATTCTCTTGCTCGGATAATTGCGAGATTCAGCGTTCCATAGGCACTTAGATTGCTGGCGTTGAAGAGCTTGTTGTTTCTGCTCAGCCAAATACTCCAGAGGATCCACGGAGCTAAGGATTCCCCTTTAACTCCTATTGGTGGTAAACAAACAATTGTCTTCAGCTTTGAGATTCCTTCCTTTACACTCGTGATTGCTCTTGGGGAGAAAGGTTCACGGAAAGGTGCTCTGTTCCACATCACCTGAGCAAATCTCAGGATAAAACTGCACACTTTTTATGTTTGCATCACTCAAATCATAAGCTTGCGAACTATATTTTCTGTGATGTACTCTCATAAAGAAAACCAAAATAAAAAGAAGAGAAGTGAGGAAATTGTTGTTGCTTGTGTTTGATCATGTTAATCTGTATTCAGAAACAACAATGGCTTGACTATATTTATAGTCCAAGTGCTCAACAAGAGCCATAAAGTAGAGATTGACCACTTGATTCTCTCATAATGACGTGAATTAGATTTGATAACATTTCACTTTGAATATGTCATTATGAGGTCAAAACTTGAGAATCAATTTTCTTCATAAAGTCATATTTGTTGACTTTATTCACAAGAGATAATGAATTGTTGACTATTTGAATTAATCAAACAATTATCAAATAAATTTGGGCCAAAAAGATTAATTTTATTTCCCAAATTCTGAAACCCAAAACTTGGTTCCATTATCTCTTTTCTCTAATACAATTAAGTGTACTCAAGGTCTTATACCTTATTATAATTTCTCTATTTATATATCAATAGGATTTCACCTCAAATTTCCAATGTGGGACATTTAATAAATATTACATTTTATTTTATACAAGCAACCCACTTGGACCTCCATTTCTCATTCAAAACAACTTCATTTTGACATATCAAAATTGAGTTCCAACAATCCTCCACATAAATAGAAATGACTCTAGACACTAAACGACTAGACTTTAGACTTGACTTTCTAGACAAGATTCAAAAGAATAAAAAAATGACTTTTGAGAGTACAAACGAAAAATCCACTGTATATGAGTTGGTAGAAAGATTAATTTTATTTCCCAAATAATTTGGTTCCATTATCTCTTTTCTTTAATACACTTAAGTGTACTCAAGATCTTATACCTTATTATAATTTCTCCACTTTATATATCAAAAGGATTTCACCTCAAACTTCCAATATGGAACATTTAATAAATATTACATTTTATGCTATATAAATAACCCATTTAGACCTCCATTTCTCATTCAAACCAACTTCATTTTGACATATCAAAAATGAATTCCAATAGTGTTACCATTGTCGATCAGGGAACTGTATACCGCAACCTTTTAACTGAAGCTGAGAAGCTCAGAATCTTCACGTACGATACGAAACTCTATATCCATATGACCGTACTTAAGCTGATCAAGAAGAGGAGTGATCTCTTCGTCTAGAGGAAAGTAACAAGAAAACAATGAGACATTAAAATAGATTTTATCTTAGTCTTTTATAGCGGTTACGAAAACATTTATATTTCCTTGGTTAGAGTGATGCAACTTGAGGTATCGGTCGATCCACAATTCAATCTTTTACGTCACATCTCTATAGACAAAACGTATAAGACCAGATTGTTACTTTGCTTAATTAGTTCGCTAATTGTGTATGAGTATGATTTTTCTTATCCAATAAAAGTAATTCGCCGGGATAAAGTATTAAAATAATATTTATAATCCGTCACGTCTTCTGATAAAATAAATAGATACAGCGTAAAAGGAATCTAAATTGGTTAGCTCGAAGCGAAAACGATGGGCTCCATTGAAGAAGAAAGACCTCTCATTGAAGAAGGCTTAATACTACAGGTTTGATCCATTTCGCTTGGGGGTTTTTTATAGATTTTATTCCGTTTAATCAGTTTAGGTTATCGGATTTCGACTTCGCAATTCTCCATTTCTCCCAATTTTCCTGAGTTCCGTAATCGTGGATTGAGCTCGAGTTTGATTAATCTTATCCATTTTTCTGGGTAATTAACTGTTTATGTGAGGGCTCTTAATCGTCTTCGATGTATCTGTTTATCCCCTAAACCTTAAACGACTTACTAATTATACTTAATTGTGTGCAATCAACAATCTAATTCAGTTTTCCAAGTTTATGATTTCTGGGCACATATTACGCTTATCATGATTCTTCAATTTTTCTCTGTGAATCTGTGATAACCTTGTAGGAGATGATGATTCAAATGTTAATTGACCTTTGTTAGCTAATTGAAGCTCATTTTTCATTAATCATTAACACAGTATTGTTCAAAGCGATTGACTTTTGGCTAAAGATATCTCTTTGATTTTGTTTAAACACAGGAAGCGAAATTGTATGCTGAAGATGGTTCAGTGGACCTTAACGGAAACCCACCATTGAAGGAGAAAACAGGAAACTGGAAAGCTTGCCCTTTCATTCTCGGTAAAGCTTTTTCATTGCCCTTTTCATTTTCATTTGTATAAAACTTTGTCTCTAACCTTTTGAAATATGTTTCTTAGGCAATGAATGCTGCGAGAGATTAGCTTACTACGGTATAGCTGGAAACCTAATCACATACCTAACCACTAAACTACACCAAGGAAACGTCGCTGCTGCTACAAACGTCACCACATGGCAAGGCACTTGTTATCTCACTCCTCTCATTGGAGCTGTCTTAGCCGATGCTTACTGGGGAAGATACTGGACCATCGCTTGCTTCTCCGGGATTTACTTCATCGTAAGCATTTTGCTTCTTCACAAATCCTCTCCCAAAACGTTTACTTTGTGTGCTGATTGGTTTTGTTTTTCATTTTAGGGAATGTCTGCGTTAACTCTCTCAGCTTCAGTTCCGGCATTGAAGCCATCCGAATGCATTGACACTTTCTGTCCATCAGCAACTCCGGCTCAGTACGCAATGTTCTTCGGCGGGCTTTACCTGATCGCACTCGGCACCGGAGGTATCAAACCGTGCGTCTCCTCCTTCGGTGCGGATCAGTTTGACGACACTGACTCTCGCGAACGAGTTAGGAAAGCTTCCTTCTTTAACTGGTTCTACTTCTCCATCAACATTGGAGCGCTTGTGTCGTCGAGTCTCCTTGTTTGGATTCAAGAGAATCGTGGTTGGGGTTTAGGGTTTGGGATACCAACCGTCTTCATGGGACTCGCCATTGCAAGTTTCTTCTTCGGCACGCCGCTTTACAGGTTTCAGAAGCCCGGAGGCAGCCCGATCACTCGGATCTCTCAAGTCGTCGTCGCTTCGTTCCGGAAATCAACCGTCAAAGTCCCTGAAGACGCCACGCTTCTCTACGAAACGCAAGACAAGAACTCTGCTATTGCTGGGAGTAGAAAAATCGAGCATACTGATGATTGCAAGTTAGTTCTTGAAAACACATTCTCTTTATTTAAGCATTTGCATGGTTTTAACGATATGGTATGATATTGACGCAGGTATCTTGACAAAGCCGCTGTGATCTCAGAAGAAGAATCGAAAGCTGGAGACTTTTCAAACTCGTGGAGGCTATGCACGGTGACGCAAGTCGAAGAACTCAAGATTCTGATCAGAATGTTCCCAATCTGGGCCTCCGGTATCATTTTCTCAGCTGTGTACGCACAAATGTCGACAATGTTTGTCCAACAAGGCCGAGCCATGGACTGCAAGATCGGATCTTTCCAGCTTCCTCCAGCGGCGCTGGGGACGTTCGACACCGCTAGCGTCATCATCTGGGTTCCGCTCTACGACAGGTTCATCGTCCCGTTAGCGAGAAGGTTCACCGGAGTAGACAAAGGATTCACGGAGATACAGCGAATGGGAGTCGGTCTCTTCGTCTCTGTTCTCTGTATGGCAGCTGCGGCTGTGGTCGAAATCGTCCGGCTCCGTTTAGCGGACGAGCTCGGTTTAGTCGAGTCCGGTGCTCCGGTTCCCATATCTGTCTTGTGGCAGATTCCGCAGTACTTCATCCTCGGTGCAGCGGAGGTGTTTTACTTTATCGGTCAGCTTGAGTTCTTCTATGATCAGTCTCCAGATGCGATGAGAAGCTTGTGCAGTGCGTTGGCTCTTTTGACCAATGCGCTTGGGAACTACTTGAGCTCGTTGATCCTCACGCTCGTGACTTACTTCACGACGAGGAATGGTCAACAAGGTTGGATCTCGGATAATCTCAATACGGGTCATCTTGATTACTTCTTCTGGCTCTTGGCTGGTTTGAGCCTTGTGAACATGGCGGTTTACTTCTTCTCTGCGGCTAAGTATAAGCAGAAGAAGGCTTCGTAGTGATTATAATGTGTCTTCTCTCTCTCTGTCTCTCCTTTGATTGGATACAAAGCTTGTTTTCTTTTTTCATGTGTAACTCTGTATCTGTAATTGTCTAAAAGTTACAACAATTGTTGTGTACTTTTTCTTTCAATATCAAAAGTTTAAGTAACATTTGCAATATTATACACATGCGAGGGGCTTCTAAATAATTAAACTTTTTCTTAACGAGCGAGATAGTGAAATGGGCTTTGAAAATCAAATTGAGGCCCATTTAACACTTACCCGGAAAGAAGAATCTGACTATTTCCGGGTCAGGCAAATCGGAGACGCGAAGTGAAAAAGGGGGAAAAAAAAGGAGAAAATCGATTTGAGGTTTGGGAGATCGAGAAAATGGAGGTTCCAGGTTCATCGAAGAAGATGATCGCGACGCAGGAAGAGATGGTTACAGCTAAAGTACCGCTTGGTTACAGAGATCAGTGCGCTCATCTCTTGATTCCGCTCAACAAATGTCGCCAGGCTGAGTTTTTCCTTCCGTGGAAGTGCGAGGACGAGCGTCACGTCTACGAGAAGTGCGAGTACGAGCTCGTGATGGAGAGGATGCTCGCGATGCAGAAGATCCGTGAAGAGGAAGCCAAGGCTAAACAGAATAAAGTACAAGGGAATGGTGTCCCTCTAATCCCTAAAACCGCTAATGCTTAGCCTTCGATTCCATCACCGATTTGCCGATTCCAGCTTTCCGGTTAGTCTTTAGCGTTCGGTTGAATTTAATTCAAGGGATCGATTTATCGGAAGTTTTTTCTTGTGTGTATGTTTACGTGCCCGATTTGATTGAATTGGCTTTTCCTTGTGCAATAGATTGTGCTCTTCGTGTTCGATTTAGGGTTTTCGTTGTGAAGAAATGGGATTGTTTGCCTGTTAGATTGTCCAATTTCTTAGCAGTTTTCTTCTCGCGTGAACATTGGCGACGATGGATTCAATTTCTTTTACATCACCATAACAATTGTTCTGTATATCAACCCTAATAGAGAAATGCTTGTTTTTTTTTACTTGTCTTCACTGTTGTTGTAAACCATCTCCATGATATCTGACGTTTGGATAAGCATACTTCCATTATTGACTTGATTTTTTGGAGATCTGTTTAATCAGCTTCGATTTCCTTTTCTTGTTCCCACTTCTTTTCAAAGCTTAATAAGTCCTGTAAGTGGATCTATGACGTTTTATGTTGGTCAACAGGAGACAACCCACTTTGCTAGACTATATTTTCTGTTTGATTGATCTTCTCTTCTTATGCTCTGATCAATGTGTTGTGAACTTGTATAAAAATGGGCTATGCATGTCTCGAATGGCTAGGAACTGGTACAGAGGATTTACATTACAAATATTTAGAAGCATTGTAAAATTACACCACACACTACAGACTGAGCTATGTGCTTTAAGATTTAGAGAAACACTTATTGATTTGTTGGATAATAGATAAACATACATATGTCACAACATCTACAGAAAGATTCTCTTGATGTCTCTCTCTCTTTATCCTTCTCACTCGCCATTGAGTACTCTTACATGATTCTGTGATTCTTTCCTTTTTCATGTTGTTGTTCATTGTCTTTCCCACTATGATTTGACAGCAATGTGGTGTTTTCTCTGCTCTAAAGACAGAGACCCTTTAAGTATTGGTCTTAGATTCTCAACATGCCAATGATTTTGTTTCACCTGATTGTTTTATTCATTCTTCTGAGTTCTAATTCATACTCTGAAATATATTTGGACAGGGGACTCTCTCTGGAACTGTGAAGAAGGTGGGGCTCTGCTTTTCGATATTTTCTTCTTGTTAGTGATGAAAAATTCTTGCTACATTTTAACATTTTCAGATGTGTGTATGTTCAAGATTCTCTCCCCTTTTTATTTCTCTTCCCGGAAAATAAGATGCAAACTCATCTTTTTGTTGGTTTTCTATCTTTAACCTTTGAGAAAGAAAGAAAATTGAACAAATGAGATTCAAAGTATTCTCTTTTCAAAAGAAAAAGCTCAATTGAACACTAAATTGTGTGTACAATCAAATCATTTCCAGTGACAATATACGTTGATCACATGAATTTGATATAATTATCAGTTTTTCCCAACTTTCAACCAAATATGTAATGGCATTGACCGTATAAGAAAAGTATACTGTATTGTAGCTATATCCATGATATGATGAAACGGCCAAAAACATGGAATAACAGAATAAGAAGAATAAAAGGGGTTATATACTAACAAAACATATCAAACCTAATTCCCAATCCTTAAGGATGAAAAGTCAAGAGTTGTTTGGTCCTACTTCCAATAATTATGCACTCACTACTACTCTAAACCTTTTCACATAACCATGCATGTCTATGTCTATGATTCTATCCATGTATATTATATTCTTTGTCTTGTAATTATAAATTAGTTGTGGACCATACATCCTCAAATCACACTTTTAAACAACTCTCTTTCACTTTTGTTCTTGTGTTTATTTTATAAGTGTGAATGGCTAATTCTCTTTCGTTCTCTCTAGGTGTTTTATGGATTTACACCATTTATATTATTATTTTTATCACCTTGGAATTTGACTTGTTTTTGCATGTGCTAGGATTGAATTCAATCAATGGGTGATGAGAAAATTGACCCAATAGAAAAATATTATTATTATTAACAGTTGTCAAATCTGTATATCGGTTTGGTGAGATTGCACATCCAAATAACCAGAAGAAGAGAATTTCATCGTTTTAGAATCCAAAATCCAGTTGGGTTACATTATCTTACGACTTACATGTATATACATATAAAGTCTTATGATAAAGGGAGAATAAAAACAAAGAGAATTATTGAATGTTTTGATTGTGGTAAAAGCCATGAATCATGGACCTCTACAGTCAATTACTCATTCAATTTCTCTTGGAGCTATTTGTCTACTGCCAGGCTCATTAATTCAATCTATTATTTTTATTTTCCCATTTGTTCTTATTTATTTTTCACCGAACAATATAGTACTAGCAATTTTTCCACTTAATTTGAAGTTTCGGTTAGACTTTTTATATCCATCCACAGATTTGTGTTATCTTATATAGGACATCAGTTTTCAGAATTGCGAAAGATATATGATGGTCGTTTTGAAATACAAAATTGATAGGTTATATATATCACAAATTCACGATATCGTGAAGAATAAAAAAAGTGTGTTTAAGTTAAAAAGGATAGTACGTAAAAACCATTTGGAACGTGTATGTCAATGATCATAACCTAGATAGCTCTTTGTAACATTTTTCTGGTCACTGGTCAGTAGATAGAAAATATACGTAACTCATGCGTCTTTGAAAAGCTGGTGACGGAATATCATATTTAAATTACCGTCTAATCAAACATTAATGGGGATAATTGGTGGGAGCTGTGGTTGCTCTCCACAACTCTATATCTCTCTAAAGCACTCCAAAATTATCAATCATGCTCTTCTTTTATTTCTTTCCATTTTTGAAACATAGAGTAATTTTATTTATTTATGGAAGTTCCTTAGCTGTAAAAAGCAATTTTTCTAGAGCACTAAATTTAGTGCTCTCTAAATTCTCTCTCTTCTCTTCCCTTATTATTTTGTCTATATCCTTTTTTTAATCTCTTATTTCTATATCTTCTTTTTTTGTTTTAATATTTCATTTAATACACAATCTACAAAAAAAAAATCTTACAGCACTAAAAACTAAAGCTACATCACTAAAACCTATAGCCTAAACTCTACAGCCAAAAATCTAAAGTCACAGCCACAACCAATCATTTTCAAATTCCCTTGAATCATTAAAGCGGATTTTGGCTTATATGAAGACTTCCACGTTTCTATAAATAATATAGAGAGTGTGCATGAATGAGAATAAGAGGCAAATTGCATAGTAGTCTACATCGAAGGTCAATTAACCTCAGTAGTCACTTTGTGCGTAGATTTTATATATTTGATTATGTCTGATTTGTTGTTGTTATTTTCGTTGGGTAAAAGTCTCGGTTTCTGTGTGGAATAATTGAATATTAAAAAAAAAAAATGAATATTTCTATATGATTTTTTTTTTAATTCTTGAAACCACGTTAAATCATAAGTCATTTATATGGTTTTTTTATTTTATTTTTTAAATTTGGTTTTCCAAAGGCTTTTCAAGCTTAATGACTAATCTAACCTAGCCTTATATCCAGTTAAGCGTTATTGCATTATTAAAGGTGCAGCTAGATTTATTTAATTTATATGGATTTTTTATGTAAAACCATATACTTAATTTCATATTAGAAGAAACATTGATCAATATATATTTATAAACAGTAGTTGGTGTTTGATCATATAGGTAATGAATTGTAGAATAACTAATATTTTGAAAAGGAAATACAACTACTGTACTTGTATTTGTATTTGTATAAATCTGTCGACATGCCATACATATTTCGTTAATTAAAATATTGAATCCTTGGTTGGAAAATTGGAGAAATCAGTAATTATTGTGGGCTACCACATAGGGATATGATGGTTTTGATTCATAGCAACAATGAAAACAAGAAGAATGAGAACAATATGCAAAGGACCTGGAGTATAGGGGTATGTTTATAATTTGGGAAAAAAAAAGTATGTAAAATGTTACATTTTTTGTGCCAAGCATTATTATAATTTAGCAGGGAAGAGAACAAGAAAATAAAAAGAAGAAAAACGAATGGGAATGAGAAAAAATACAAGGGAATTAGGGGAATGAAGTCAAAACGGTGGTCCAAAAGATATTACGAAGGACCATTGTAAATTTCTGATTTATTGAAATCAGAAAGTTAAACACGAAACCCTAAAAGAAAAAGAGATAAAAATAGGAGGAATAATAATTATGCTATGGTCAAAGCTTAGCAGTTGAGCTATTTTAATTTTAGTTTATTTTAATTTGGTCGAAATAGCCTATGGTGAAAAAGAGAGGAAAGTTCTGCATTTGGGTAAATCCCAAATCCCCAAGCGGTAGATATTCTGGTTTTCTTTTTTATGACAAAGTTACATGTTTTTGGCCAGCTAACAAAGGTATAAGCTTGTGGCAAGAGATTAATATTAGGATCTAGAAACTGACTATGTTTTTTTCATGCAAGTTGTATATAGAGCCTTGTGTAGATTTCTGGTACGTTAATATGCAATGATTCTCTTTAAACTATATAATATAAATATTTAGGATAATAATAATGAATGGGGTCGAGTCAAGACTAATGTAACCAAAGTCAAATGGATTTTCGTATGATTACCATTTTTTGTAGATTATGTCCCTGTAGGTCAAGAACACATGTCACCTCGTTTTTTTTAAATAATTTTTTTTTATAAAGTAACAACATCAACATTCCAGCTGGTTATTTTATAAAGAGGTACGTATCTTGATTCTTTTTATTTGCTAGTCTAATCGTCTAAATAAGTGACAAAATTTTGACTTTACGAGATTTACGTATCGCCAAATCATGAACAAACGAATTATAATTGTCTCTTTGTGAACTTAGCTCTTTGTAGTGTAGAATTTTGGTATAATTATTTGAAAATGTAAATTTGAACCAAAACCAAAACCCAAACCCGTACAAAACAAACTACATTAAAAACATGGCTTAGGTTCGTAGCTATTTTGTGTTAAATTAAGTTTCGTATTTCTAAAACTAAACTACCAAACAAAATCAAAATAAAAATCAATTTAAATCCGAACAAAACACAAGCTACAAAGGAATATCCGGGAAACAAAAAATGAATGAACCTTTTATAAAAAGTTATAATTATCAATAATTTTTGGCATTTTGCAAAAGATATGTATAGAGAGATATAAGCATGAGTGCATCCAAAAGAGACAAAGAGAATAGATGGAAAAAGAGACAGTCATCTTTTAGAAAGAGCCAAAAACAAAATCAGAAAAACAAAAACCTTGCTCTTTTAATCCAACCCCATACCCACAATTCCTCTCTCTCAGGGCTCTTCGTCTCTCTTTCTTCTCTACAGAAAAAAAATCACTTTTTCTGGTTTTGCGTTTGAAGAAAATTCAAACTTTTTTTCTTGGGTTTAAGGGAGAACGAATCTTGTTTCTAGGGTTCTTCGGCGAAATGGGTAAATGTGGTGGGAGAAACGGTAACGGAAACTTCAACGGCGTCGGATTCAATGGTAGCGGAGGCGGCGGAGTTAGGCCGTACGTACGTTCTCCGGTTCCTCGGCTCAGATGGACGCCGGATCTTCACCGTTGCTTCGTTAACGCCGTCGATATGCTTGGTGGCCAACACAGTACGTTTTCAGTCTTTTTGAATAAAAAAATGCAAACTTTCGTTGCTTTGTTCGATTCAAAGGATTTTGTTTTGGATACTTCTGATAAAGATGAAACCTTTCTCCATGAAACTTCATCATCTGATCTTAGTCAAGTTTTTGAAATCAAAGCCTTTACACTTTTTGCTACTTTGTCTCATTCATATATCTTAAAGTTCGGATTTTTTTTGGATAAATCTTAAAAGATTTGAAATTTCATCTGTATTCATCTTCATCATCCTTTAAGAATCACCGTAGTAAAATTTTCGAGCCAAGCTTTCATCTTCTGTTTCATTCATATGTCTTAAAGTTTGGACCTTTTTTGTGCTGATTTTCTATAAAAACAAATTTCTCGTGAATAGTCATTATAGAATCATCATGGGTCACCTTTTCATTTGATGAAACAGGAGCCACTCCAAAGCTTGTTCTTAAGATGATGGATGTGAAAGGACTCACCATTTCACATGTCAAGAGCCATCTCCAGGTAACTAAATTTTACCTTTCTTTTTTCTTCTTTGATTCGTTCTTGAATACTTAAGCACTTTTTTTCTCTTTTGTTTTGACCATATATTTACAGATGTACAGAGGCTCTAAACTCAATTTGGGGAAACCAGGTAATGGGATTTTTTGTTTTCTTTTTGCCAAATTCCTGAAATCATGATTTTTTTTTACAGAATGGGACCGTTGATTTTATTATGAACTGTTAACATCAAAACTATAATAATGGATGGAATTTAATTGTTTTACTGTATCTGTTTGTAGTATGTACTATTGGTCTAGTGTCATGATTCATAAGACAATTGTCATAAATACATATGACACTGCTTTCATTATTATTTTTATAAATTGGTACCTCTAATTTAGCAAAACAAGAGAATATTCATCGTGTTCATTAATTGTTTTTTTGTTAATTTTATTTTTGGGGACAGAGGAAAAAAGCTCTTCATCTTCAATACTAAGAAGAAGACAAGACACTGAAGAAGATTATCTTCATGACAACTTGTCTTTACACACAAGGAATGATTGTCTTTTGGGTTTTCACTCTTTTCCTCTATCTTCACATTCTTCTCTTAGGTAATTTTATTTATTTTTATATAATTTTCTGACATGTTTTTAATTTTGTTTCAGAAAAGCTATCATATATTATACCTCCTTTCTTGTCTGTATTTGAATTGTCCTTTTTTAATTTTATTTACTTTGGCGCAGAGGAGGACGAAGAAAGGAGCAGACTTCAGAGTCCGGTTATGATGATGATGACTTTCTTCACATCATGAACATGGAGAAGACGAAAGAAACGACGACGTTTCAATCACATCAATTCCTCAAGGTAATTTCTTTATTTTTCTGGTCAACAAGTCCCCTTTTTTTAATTTAATTATAGAAATAGGTAAGATTTACATTTGAGTGTTTCCCGTATCTTGGACATTTCGGATTTAATTTTGAAGTCTTAACCGGGAACAAAGCCAAACCATATTTAATGATTCAATAAAAAGTGACATTTAAGATTTGGTTAACGGTTTGATTGAAATCTCTGGGGTCAAACCCAAACCGATTGTAGTCCGGTTTAGTAACTAATCTTTTTCTTTTGGGTCATTAGAAAACAGAGAAGGAGAACAACTGGGAAAATACTTGGCACGAAGCAGAAGAACACGAAGCAGCAGAAGAAGAAGATTTGTCGTTGTCTCTGTCATTGAACCATCATCACTGGAGAAGCAATGCATCATCAGTGAGCGAAACGAGCGAAGCAGTCTCCACTTGTTCTGCACCATTCGTCTCCTCAAAGGCTGATCTTAATCTTAATCTTTCGATTTCTCTCGTCGGTAGCTAAAATATTCAGGAATAAATCTTTGTTCTTTAGATTAGTTGCAGTGATAACATTCAGATTTTGTTGTGAAAAAAGAATTTTATGTTTTCAGAGATTGAATGTTAGTGGAAATCTTGAAAAAATAAACTTAGATAAATATCATAAACTGCAAATTAATAGTAGTATATTACAATTTACACTTAACAAATAGCGCCAAAACGAAAATCGAAATATACAGAAAGTTAAAGCAAAGATATGAACAGAAAAGCAAAAAATGTAGTACACTGGACAAACGCAGCGTTTTGATATTTGTAGGATATTTACTTAAACGCAGCGTTATAGTTTCAATCAAGATTCAAGAGACAATAATTTACAAGGATTTAATAACCTGTCAGTATTATTTCTGAATTACCGTTTCTCTTTGGTGAAATAGTAAAAAAGAGAAAGAGAAGATTAAATTTTCATAACAGAAAAAGCTCTTGAAATCACCATTTTTGGTTTCCGTGCCGACGATGGTCGGTCGTCGGTGCCGATGAATCTATCGCACCGTTTTGCGTCACCAATGCTCAAGACGGCGAGGCTCAAAGTTTCGTCCCGCGACGGTATTCGTTCCTCCGCCGTCGACATGCCTCCGTGCTCCGGTTCAGTTCGCCGAGCAGCCGTTGTATTCCTTTTCGCCATTACCATCACATGCTTCCTCGTCTACAGATCCGCTGATTCTCTCAACACCGTCTCCGGCTCTTCGTCCTCGATTCTCACTCGCATTTTGCCGTCTTACGATTCCTTCAAGTCTCTGGTTAGTTTCTCTTTCTTTCCTCGCACCGTCGTTATCGTGTTGTTACCAGCGGCTGTTTGTTTTCCCGGGAATCTGATAATTCGACGAAAGTAGAGTGCGATTCTGGATTTAGGCTTAGGGATTTGATTGATTGATCTTAAGAACTTCGGCTAATTTTGATCGCAATCGATTCTATGATGTGAAGAGCGTAGAAAGATTCCGAAATTGTGTGTTCGAGCTGTGAAATCGAATCAAATTTAGCTTTCTCTGGTGCTAGTAGTCGAATTTTAGTTGATATGAACAGTTATAGTCGACGAATTTCTTGATTTGGCAGTGTCCTGCATTCTAATTCTGGATTTTAGTGTCACACCAGGAAATTGAAGAGCCTAAGCTCGAAGACGTTCTTCGTAGAGCTGCAACGAGAGACGGCACAGTGATTTTGACGACTCTGAATGAAGCTTGGGCAGCTCCTGGATCTGTTCTCGATCTCTTCTTCGAGAGTTTCGAGATCGGCGAAGGAACAAGCGTGCTTCTGAACCATCTGGTGATCATTGCTCTGGATGCTAAAGCCTATTCCCGTTGCCGAGAAGTGCATGAGCATTGTTTCAGTCTTGAAACAGAGGGAGTTGATTTCTCCGGCGAGGCTTACTTCATGACTCGCTCTTACTTGAAGATGATGTGGAGAAGAATCGATTTCTTGCGTTCTGTTCTTGAATTGGGTTACAACTTTGTTTTCACGGTAAAGATCTTCTTGCGTTGTTCTTGACGATTTGAAAGATTTCTTGCGTTGTTCTTGACTCTACCTTTTTTGTATCTCTCTCTCCAGGATGCTGATGTGATGTGGTTTAGGAACCCATTTCCGAGGTTTTACAGATACGCTGATTTCCAGATTGCTTGTGACCATTACCTAGGAAGGTCCACGGATCTAGAGAACAGACCAAACGGAGGATTCAGCTTTGTGAGATCCAATAACCGGACTATACTCTTCTACAAGTTCTGGTACGCTTCACGGATCAAATATCCAGGTTACCACGACCAGGACGTTCTCAACTTCATCAAGACGGAGCCTTTCATCTCCCACATCGGGCTTAGTATCAGGTTCTTGAACACGGCGTACTTCGGTGGACTCTGTGAGCCGAGCAAAGATCTGAACCTTGTTCGTACGATGCATGCGAATTGCTGCTTCGGTATGGATAGTAAGCTTCACGATCTTGGGATCATGCTTCAAGACTGGAGAGATTTCATGTCTTTGCCACTTCATCTTAAACAGTCCTCTGGTTTCTCCTGGAAAGTGCCACAAAATTGCAGGTTTTTGAAATTGAAATACATCTTCCTTTTGTCATCTTTTACTTTATCTTTGGGATTTGTTGAGAAGATCAATGGACCGTGTTTTGTGTTGTTTTTTGCAGTCTTGATTCACTGCGAAGATATGACTCTGCGGATGAAGAAGGTAGTGAGCCACCAGGAGGAGAGTCTGAAGAGTGAAATGGTTTGTGTGTGAAAATTGTATAGAGAAATGAAAGCTGAGTTTTGTAAAGTCATTCAAAGAGAAACACTGAGCACAAAGATGCTCTTCGGTATAAACACATTAGAAACTTGTCGATAATAGTTTAGTGAGCTGCTAATGAAGAATTTTTGACAAAAGATCTGAAAATGATTTTGAGTTTCTAACGTTATCCTTTGCTAATACCTTTTTTGTCTAGAAATATTCGGTAAAAGTTTGTGCTTCTGAGTTCTAAACATGGTTTTTTTTTTTTTTTTTTTTTTTTTTGTTGGACGGGTTTAGAAAATGATATGTTGGAAATATGAACTAATTTGTGGTTTGTGAAATCAGTGGACGTTATAGTTTTGAAAATGGGCTTTAAAGTAGTGTAGTGTGTGTATTTTGAGAAAGTTCTCTATGTTTAGTATATTCGAATTTGTATGTGTAGGCGGTAATAAAGTAAACAAGATATGGAATTGTTTTAATTAAACCGACCAATAATCATTGGTGTAATAAAAACTCGTTTTATTAATAAAGCAATTCAAGCACCTAAACGCCCTTACCAACAATTCCGACATCCATCTGTTAAGATAGCAACTTATCGTAATCAGTAATCATTTCTTTCATATGCTTTTGCTACAGTTTTTGTTTCGTGCTCTATACAGTATACTGTATAAAGAGTGATTTATACAGTGTACAGCATGCAACAACACGCTCTTCTTATATTTCAGCTTAACTCCTTCTTCTGTTAGTATGACAAAAAAATGTAAAATTGGTCTGTTTTCATCTCTTTCTTGAGAAATAAAAAAGAGAAGCAAAAACTGGATAACCATAAAATTAACGAACCATGTAGACTAATATGGTAGTATCTTCTAACTTTCTAAGGCCTTTTAACAAAAATAAAATAAAATGGTACTATCTTCTAAGTAACTTCTCCTTAGGTAATACTACGAAAAGATTGTTCGACTGATCGGAAATCAAAAGTATATCGAACTACATGAGATTATTTGATTACATTAGCGAAAATTATTTGTAGTGTAACATGTTCATTGAGGTTATCGAATGTTTATTGCCTTTACCAAGTTATGTTTATCTAAATATTAGGAAAGATAGCCAATCTTTTCCACACGAGAGAGAAATGGTTTGGATATCGACTTATGGAATTGGGTCATGTGCTACCGGGCTATTTAGTTTGTGGCTTTAACATGCCAATTTAAAACGAGGTGGCCATATAATCAGCTAACAATAGTATATTTTGTTTCAAACAAACAAATGGTGTATATTAATCCATAATGCACATAACAACGATAATACGTTTTTAAACATTTGATTTTGTAACCTTCTTACACCAAGTAGGTTGCAAACATACTTTTGATACAGTTAAGCTATACGTTTAGGTTAAAGTTTGAATCTATATCAATATTTCAAGTATAAACAGATAGTATAATACATCAAGAAGGTTGCAAAATCAAACTTTTAAAATCATAATATACCTCAAAGTATAGTGTAGTATCCAACCACCTTCATTTCTTGATCCCACGCCCAGTTTTGATCTGTGGATCTCACTTTGGACGGTCTATTTTTTTGTATTATTGGTATTGCAAATCATTACGGATCTTTCTTTGACATGTTTTTTTTCTCACTTTAATTAGGACAATACTAAGAGTCACATCTTAGTATATTATCCACATGGTCTTATCTATCTCACTTCTTGAAAGGGTTCTCACAAGTCACAAAGATAAATCTGCGTTCATGATACATATACTCAAATCAATTCCATAGGTTTTCTTTTAGCAACGATGAATTTGCATAATCAAATGTATTATAGTCAACCTCATTCACAAAACGCAATGTCTTTGCCAAAATTGTTGCCTCAAAGGTGCTTTACACCATATTAGGCTAATTTTTGTACATCTTGCAAAATTTTAGGGCCGACTCTGACTACATTATATAGTTTATTTTCATTATTTGGTCTAATTTGCCATTGCTCCAAAATAGTTTATAATTTTGGATAAATTATTGTAGATGTCAATTTATAAAGCGGAAATCTCAATTTAACATTGTAACGTTCGTAACTGGTTACAAATTACATGTGGACTAGCATTTGCTTAATGAGATATGAAAATTTATGGATTTACCATGGCTTTTTTTCCAGCCATCAGAGACGTTTTGACTGTAATTCATTTTAATGGTTTTGTCTTATTAATCATTTTTTCCAATATAATATAAAATTTAGTATAATTTATTATCTTTGTCAATTTGTAGAAAGAAAATTATCATTTATTATTGTAACGCTCATAACTGTAATATATGCTAGATATATACAAATTTTTTTACAGACTTGTCATGACTTACATGCAGAAAAACCTTTTAAAAAAAATAGATATCAAAGATTTATGGACCTTCCATGACTTACACGCGGACACCTAGTTACTTAATGGTTCATAAAAACTGTTAGTAGTAATTACACATAAACTTCCAAAAACCTATAATTGACACAAATGCCCAACTATGGGTAATATTCAAGCAACCTATGGTTAATAATTTTTTTTTAAATATTTTTAATACATATTAATTGGTAATTTCTCTACAACTTTAGTCCATTTTTAGTTTGTCATCATTTGAAAACTTTAAAATTAATTAATAAATGAAGTTAATGATTTGCCAAAACTGTATTAACTCTTCTTAAATTTTGCTCTTACACATTTATGTGCATGCTTACTATGTGAGTATATATATTTATGTATATATAGGGGTCTCTATTTTATACTCAGAGGCAAGAAACTGATAGGAGCGCTTCCAAATCTTACCTCAGACTCCAGGAGCTACAAGAGGTGCGAAGTTCTTCTTTCTACCTTTATTGTAATCTTGTCTTGTTTAAATATATTTAAAAAATTGCTTACAACTGTTGATTTGAAAGAATTTCTGTTCAAATATGTATGTGAGAGGAAAGGTTACGGTTCAAGTGTCGTTGTTATCGGGAATGGCGATTATATTCCTTTCCCTGAAAATTCTTAGCATAACAAAAACAATTATGCAGATAAAACAATAGTTTCATATGTGTTTTGGATGATCATATATGGTGATATTTAAAACAACTTTAATATAGAACTCATGGCCACGTTAAAAGATAAATTAAGTTATTTTCTTGACCTCCTTCTTTGGAGAATAGACTGAACTTAAAAGAAATTTTGTTCAAGATTGTTTGTAAATATCCTATATACTATATAAGTATATATTTATATGTATTATACATTATAATAGGTATTTAACTAAGACTACACTATTTATTTTTAAAAACACTTTATTATATTATTTTCTGCTCAATATACAGTTTTTTCTCAACACTATCATTTTCTATTTCATATTAATAGACATAAACAGCAATGTTATAGAAAATTATGTGTTAGTCTAGCTGTTTTTATAATTTACTGAAGAAATAAAAGAGATGGAGGGATCCATCAATTTGGGAATTATTAATAGAGTTTATTTAATTTGTTTTTAACTAACTGCCTGAATCTGGGAAGAGACGACGAAATATAGTTAAAAAATTGGAGTATACTTTTTGGTTTTTACTTTACCACATACATGAAAAATATATACAATCATTCTTCCTTTTGTCTTTTTTATCTTTGGAATATCTCTTTTCAAATTCAACCTTCCATGTCATACAGACAGACATACATTCATATATGATATGATAGGAACTTTTTAAAAACCAAAAAAAGAGACCCATATGAGATGATGATGACGATTGTGACAAATAATCGTTTTCTTTTTCGTTACCAGCAATTCCAACATTTTCATTATATTTTTAAGATACAACAAAAAATGATTTTGTATATTTTCTATATATGCGATGCTAAACTTTTCTCCTAAGAGAGCAATCTCGTATTGATATTTTATTTCAATGTCAAATATCTTCATCTACATTATTTTAATGTCATAGTTACTCTATGGCTATCTGTTTTTATAAAACTTTTTTATATCCAAAAACAAAATTCTGAAATTTATTATTCACATATGTTAGCGAGAGAGAGGAGCTGTTGAGGGTTGTCTCACGCACCATCCACTGTCGTTTTGTGGCAAATGGATTGGGTCCACCGACCTCTGTAGTTCTCATACTTTCTTTTTTTCTAAAAATAATTTACATATTCAGGAAAACAAAAATAGAGAAATAATTAATTGCTCTCTATAATGTGTGTGTGTGTGTGTGTCTACAGTCGACACCCAAATTGTTTAGACTATGCGTAACAAACAAAATAATATTATAATAAAATGAAGATAATATATACACAAATAAATATATAGTTTTTTTAGTATCCTATGTATCATATACAATTATTATACACATATAATTAATATTTTGCCTAAATATTCAAGGTAGATTTATTTAGTTTGATTATCTTACCATTAAAAAAAAAACGAATATGAACTTTAACACTCCAGGCTACTGAATTGGTTGATAATTTTTTTTTTCTTTTACTAGCCTAGCACTCGTTTTCACTTGTCACTTTCATCTTCTCTCTTCATTACCTCACATAAAATTTATATGTTTTTTTTTTCAATTCTTCTCTATAAATTTAATAATAATTAATTTTAAAATCTGGATATCCCATTTTTAGGGCTTTATTGAGATAAGAAATCAGTGGAAGTCAAAAAAGAATTTAATGTTAAGAGTTTCTTCTCTCTAGTTTCATTTCATTTATTTTTTTCTTCTCCTCTCTCTCTTTCTCTCTCACCATCACACAGAACACAGAAGAATCCATGGCTGCTTCCTCATCCTCTGCTGCTTCCTTCTTTGGAGCTCGACAAGATGATCAGTCTCACCTTCTTCCTCCTAATTCTTCCTCCGCCGCTCCTCCTCCTCCTCCTCACCACCAGCCACCGGTGCCGCAACAACCGCTTGAAGCTCCACCGCAGAAAAAGAAGAGAAATCAACCAAGAACTCCGAGTAAGTTAATTACTCCTTAATTGAAAATCTTATAGTTTTGATTTTATAAAATCACGTGATCAGTTCATTAAAAGACTGATTGGTAAAAAAGAGAAATTCCTTTTTCATCTCCCCCTTTTCTCCCCTCTCTCAATTTCCAAATCTTGAAATAAGCAAATTAGCAAAACCCTAGTTCTTGATTTTCCAAATTTCAGATTGTCTTCAATTATCTACCATGCAATATTAAAATACCGTACTAATTAATAATTGTACCCTCAAATTTTTGTTTCTACAATTAGATTCCGATGCAGAAGTGATAGCTTTATCTCCAAAGACACTAATGGCTACAAACAGATTCATATGTGAAGTATGCAACAAGGGGTTTCAAAGAGAACAGAATCTACAACTTCACCGAAGAGGACACAATCTTCCATGGAAGCTAAAACAGAAATCGACCAAAGAAGTGAAGAGGAAAGTGTATCTTTGTCCGGAACCCACGTGCGTCCACCATGACCAGTCACGTGCTCTCGGAGACCTCACCGGAATCAAAAAGCACTATTACCGTAAACACGGAGAAAAGAAGTGGAAATGCGAGAAATGTTCTAAGCGTTACGCTGTTCAATCGGATTGGAAAGCTCACTCCAAGACTTGTGGTACCAAAGAATATCGTTGCGACTGTGGTACACTCTTCTCTCGGTTAGTAATCGAACTCTTTTAAACTATTTAAATTATAATTTAATCATATATCGCTAGCGATATGTGTGTGAATATGTGTCTATGAGTCATTCTTCATGGATTAGGGTTTATTTTAGGTTCACTTTCTGTTTCGCCTCGAAGTCTTCGATTCTCTTATCGCTTTCTTTCGTGCAGTAAATGCAACTTTATTTTATTTTTTCTTGTTTTTTCAATAAAATTTTTAAAATAAAAATTTGTACATGAACACACGTGAATGTGTGTGTATCTATATATGACACTGAAACTGCCATATTTCATTAGATGCTTTCTAGCAGAAACTCAAAACCAAAGAGGACCAATTTCATTTTTTTTGTTTTTTCTTTTATTGTTTTTCTCTATAGTTTTGCCTTGGAAACACCGCCCTATTTTCTGTCCTGAAATAAATTAATATATATTTTTTCAGGATTTTTTCCTTAGATTTAAAATTATACTTATAATATGGGCAATTCACGTGCTGCTAAACTATATAATATCTAGAGAGGTTGTTGTTACAGTGTGTGTTCTCATATGTGTAAAATTTTACTAGATACATACACTTTTTTTATGATTCTTCTGTACTTTGTACCATAACCACACACACCATATATTTACTATATACATTTTGCACAAAATGGCTTTAAATTGCATTGAAATAATAACTAGGAGTATACTCAAAATAAGTTTCGAATTTAAGTTTATTTTCTTCTCAGTCTTTTTTTTGTTAAAAGGATCATTTTCTTCTCAGTCTTGGTTGGCATTACTGTGTTTGTGTGTGTGCGTGCATTTAGAGGAGTTCTATAAATGGAAGGAAGTAATTAAAAATATCGTGGTATAAATATACACATAAATAGTCATATAGACATTTATATAAGTCCTTCATTGAATACATGCTGAAGTTGCATTTATTGAACTTACAGGATCTTGAATTAAGACAGATTCAGATATTCATTTGACAATCATTCTCTCTATATACTATCGTGAAACTCCCTAACTTTTTCCACCTACCTTTTCAATTCTTTGAATACTCATTTATTTATATATAGACACATTAACATAACCGCACATAAAATTATAGTATACGATGACGACGAGCATATGCATAATAGTTTTCCAGAGTTAAATTAATGTTTATCTTGATTCGTTAATTATTGCGCATATACTGATATAGATAGACTTATACATTTGTTCGTACGCATAATCATAGACACATACATCATCATAGTTGAAGTGTGACACAACATTGTACTCCTATTTATGTGTATGCGTGCATTATTTGTAAATGCGTCAATGCATGTGAGTGTGTAAGCTGTTAAAAATTACATAGGTGAAAAAATAACAATAGGATGTATAATAGAGTGGTAGAGTGACTTTCTAGCCATCTATCTACTTTTCAAGATCCCATAATTACACGCGAATCTATTTGTAGCTACGTGACATGATGAGTCTCTCTCTCTACTTACAAATATTTTCTTTTCATTTCACTTTTCCCAAAATATGTCTTTTTATTTCATCATGTTATTTATAATAATATACCTGACGATCCAATAGATTCGATTGTCAATTAAATGAAATAATTTGCTTTTGTTGTGTCACAGGCGAGACAGTTTCATTACACATAGGGCCTTCTGTGACGCGTTGGCTCAAGAGAGTGCGAGACACCCAACTTCTTTGACTTCTTTGCCAAGTCATCACTTCCCGTACGGACAAAACACCAACAACTCCAACAACAACAACACTTCAAGCATGATCCTTGGTATGTCCCACATGGGGGGCCCACAGAATCTTGATCATCACTCCGGCGACGTTCTCCGTCTTGGAAGCGGCGGAGGAGGAGCCGCCTCACGCTCTTCCTCTGATCTCATTGCTGCTAACGCTTCAAGCTACTTCATGCAAGAGCAAAACCCAAGTTTTCATGAACAACAAGATCATCATCATCATCATCAACAACAACAACAAGGGTTTTTGGCTGCGGGCAATAACATCAAGCCATCACCAATGAATTTTCAACAGAGTCTGATGCAGTTCTCACATGACAACCATACATCTCCTTCCTCAAATCTCTTTAACCTCAGCTTCCTCTCTGGAAACAACGGAGTTGCTTCTGCGACAAGCAACCCTAATGCTGCTGCTGTTTCTTCGGGTAATCTTATGATTTCGAACCATTTTGATGGTGAAAATGCTGTTGGAGGCGGCGGAGGAGAAGGAAGCACGGGTCTCTTCCCTAACAATCTGATGAGCTCGGCTGATAGAATCAGCTCAGGATCATCAGTCCCTTCACTCTTTAGCTCATCAATGCAAAACCCCAATTCAACACCTCACATGTCAGCCACTGCTCTTCTTCAGAAAGCTGCTCAAATGGGTTCAACCTCAAGCAACACCAACAACGGAAACAACAACAACAACAACAACAACAACAACAACAGTAACAACGCCTCATCGATTCTAAGAAGCTTTGGGAGTGGAATGTACGGAGAAAACGAGAGTAATCTCCATGATTTGATGAATTCTTTCTCTAACCCCGGTGCAACGGGAAACGCTAACGGAGTAGATTCTTCGTTTGGTTCGTACGGAGGAGTGAACACAGGGTTAAACGCTGATAAACAGAACAAGACTAGAGACTTTCTTGGAGTTGGACAGATCGTAAGAAGCATGAGTGGAAGTGCAGGGTTTCAACAGCAGCAGCAACAACAACATGGGAATAGTAGAGAAAGAGTTGGTTCTTCTTCAGATTCGGCCGATAGAAACAGCATGAATGTGAATCCTGGTGGTGGTCCGGCAAGTTCACCAACGTATGGAATCCATCATGCGAGCTTCTGAGGAGATAAAGAAGTTTCTAATGGAAAACAAAACATTTAAAAGGTTTTAGTTCATCAAACTGCATGCTATATCTTTCAGGTATGCATGTCATCGTCAAGACACCATTTGAAGTAATTAAGCTTTAGTTGCAATTTATCCAAACTCAGTTCTTTTTCTTCTTTTGTAAAAGATTTTGGCTTTATAGTTTATATAAATGGATTCCCTCCTGAAAAACAATTTCTTTCAGAGTTTATAGTTTATGGTTTCAGAATAAAATTATTACTATACTTTATCCGCAGAGTTTTTTCATGGCTTATAGATTTTAGAGTAAATAATTAAGTAGTTTACTTATTTACTGTATTTGTGGAGTGAATTCGGAGTATTTTTTAACTATATATATTTATTAGGGTAAAGATTAAAACAACAATGTACTAAAGGGTTTAGCTGTTAAACATTTGGGTGTGAATATTTGTTTTCGTTGTTATTTTATTTTGTAGAAGAAAAGTTTTAATTTTTGTTTTTGGCTGACACATTTATCGTCTTATCATTGCATGGGGCAGTCAATGAGTTGGAGAGTACAAGCAGCCTTTGCTAAGTTTCTTTGTCTTTTTGTTTTTATTTTCTTTTATTTGCCTTTTTATTCTTTAATTTCTTTTCATTTGTCATCTTCACTAGCTGGCAATGTCACGAGTGTTTGTCCTGTGATCCCCTTTCTAAATATCTCGATACATGTATACATACATGTCACATGTGCACATATATATATGCATCTGTATAGTTTTGTATATAATATGTTCCTACCATATCCTCAAAGGGTTGTCCCCATCATATTTAAATTTAACGGTCCAAAATAAGCAATCCTGTTTCAACATTCACGAGTCTACATTACTGATTCTGATTTCTGGTTACAAAACCAGCATAAGTATATAACTAAATTCAATATGCAAATCGATTTGGTATGCTCTTGATTTTGGTTTAGAAACATGTTTTCGTTAAATATATTACCGTTGTTTAAAAAAAAAATTAAAGCTTTGGGTTGAGAAGTTTTCAGACAAAAACAATTTATGGTTACGCCTTTTGTTTTTCTAGTAAAATTGTTTGGAGATTTTCTAAAATAATTTTAACTAAATTTAAATATCATTATTTTGATTGGTTTCTCTGAGTTCATACCCAATCAGTTTGATATATTAATACTCATTCCGTTTCATATAAAATTTTGTTTTGGAATTATAATCTTTTTAATTATAAATGTCGTTTTATAATTTTGGTACAGTTTTTGGTAAATATTAATTAGTAGAATAAAATGATGTAATGTAATAATTATATGAAGAAAAAATTCAAACGCTCTTTTTTTCAATATATGTGAACAAAATTTAATGATATTTATTTATAATATAACAGAGGATGTATGAACTTTTTTGGGGTAGGATATTTTTCATGTAATTTTTAGATTTTTTTTCTTGGAATGTATTCTTTCGGTGTGTGTGAACATAAAATACATTATTGTTGACAACATCTACAATTGTTGAAATAATTAGTGATATTAATAATAGTATTATAATGTCTTTGTCGTAATAATGTATATGGAGAATATTAAAAATAGTATCATATATATAATGTAGGGACATACATGCAAGTGATGCAAGTAAGGAGGCCCATCGACATGAAACGAGAGGGAGAGATGGTATCGTTGTCTCACCAAAAACAGACAGCTCTTCTCTCATTTTTTTTTTGTTCTAACAGTATTTTTGTAACAATCTTGAAGTTTCTTATAGTATAATGTTAATGGTTAACTAATCGATCCATGTACAAAACTCTCTTGTTTTTTAAATACATGTTATTTCATCCCATCCAAAGTCGAATACACTTGATAACAAAGTTTAGAAATCTAATCATCTTTACAATAAAAAAATTGCCCATTAAAGACATACAATATACCGATGTAAAACCACCAAAATAAGTTTCATATTATTATTTTTCTTTTGTTTCGAACGAGTAGCAGTCAAATTTTTGAGCTTATCTACCGAGTGTTTCTTGTAAACCTATTGTTTTTGTTGTTATTTTTTTTGGATCAAATTTACTCAAAGAACAAATTTATTAGTCTTTGCTCGGGTGGATTTTCAAAATCAACCCGATGGTTGATTCGGGGTACTCGTGTTGCTCGAAATATCGTATCATCTTCAGATCTTCCACCTCACTTTATGCAGCTGTGCTCGACGTTGTATTATTATATATCATGAGTTGTTTGACTACCGAAAAATATAGCCTTTGATAATCCGAACTTTCTTTTTGAGATATGTTAAAATGATGCCACTCGATCCAAAATATATAACACATTGATCAAATAGAATAACTAAACGTATTATCATGCATCTATTAATTGATGTATCATGTATGTATGCCCCAATTTAAGATTTCCCATAATGAAGTGGACCAAGAACAAGCAGAAGAAATCTCAAGAAATTTTGTAGTATTCATAAACTTTTCTCGACAATCTCTTCACGGGCCAATTTTTTATTTTCTATCTTTCACATGAACGACAACTCTGCCATTCACATGCTTTTCCCTTTTATAATTCTTATCCATTTCAATTAATATAAATCATTCATGTATGTCACCGGTGGCTTTGGGTTAGTGGTAAAATACAAGGTTGGTCTTGTTATGCTTCTACTTTGATTCTTGAAAATATGTTTTACGCCATGTTAAGGTTTTAGTAAATGATGGTCACAAGACAATGATGGGAAAAATTAAAGCTTTGGCTCAAACCCATTATAATAAAAAACATTTAGCAAAATAATAATAATTCAAAACTCATACTTTTTATTTTTTTATTTATTTTATTTTTTTTTGTCAACAGCCTTTGTCTCTAGACTAGCTCGGGAATCCAAGTTGGTGAGACAGAGTTTACATAGTACACATCAGTAGGTAGAGCTCGAGCACTGCGTGCTAACTTGCCTGCCTTCGTGTTTTTCGTCCTTGGAATATACATGATGGAGAAAAAATTGAAGTTCCTCTTGCATCTCTCCACCTCTTCAAGTAGTAGTGAAAACGCCGGCAAAACTCATACTTTTATTAACAAAATATAAATATGAGAAAGTAATTTCTGATATGAAAGGATAAATCAAACAATTATTACGGTGTGCTAATTTTAAAGTTTAATTTTCACCAAATCAGTTTTGTTCAACTTACTAAATGTAACACTGTGAATATCTCGTTTGGTTTATGCTGTCTAGCAACTAAGGAGCTATACTATCTCCAAAATTAACAACACAAGAAAAAACTAACTTTGATGATAAAAAACAGAAACATAGATAGATTAATCATTATACTATTCATAGTTGATTATTGTTGTTCTTTTTTTTTCAAAAATTCCATTTTTTCTTTTCTTTTCGAGAACTACAATCTATTCATATTATATATTGTAAAAATACAGCATTACAACACTCTCTCTGTTTCATAAAGAGTGTTATGCTATTCTTTTACACACATATTAAGAAAATCATTCAAAACTCTATTTTACCCTTTTTAATTACACTTATACTATATTCTCTTTCAAATTAATATATTAATAACAAGGTTAAAAATGGATTTTAGTTAATAAAATTGCATTATAAACACAAATTGACACCTTTGTAAAAGAAAAATAAAACCTTAGAATGACACTCTTTATGAAACGGAGGGAGTATATAAATACTAATTAACAACCCCTTACTTTTTCAAACATGATTTTCCAAAATATTTATTATTTTTTAATTGATCTAGAATTATATTTTAGTTATTTAATACTTCTTCAGTTTCATTTTGGTTGTCGTTCTAAACCTTTTCACGCATATTAATAATTTATATTCTCTCTGTTTTTCAATAAATGTCATTTTAGAGAGAAAAATTTGTTCACAAATAAAAAGTTTTTTCACAAATCAATGCAAAAAAATTATTGTATTTTGTTTTTTTTGACTGTCTGAATTATGCAGATTGATTTTCTATTGGTTAACCTGTTCTGGGAATAATAATAAAACATGGTTTGTTTTGAAAAGAAAAAAAAAGTCAATTTCTTAATCTATGTGTATAACCCTAAAATGTCACTTATTGGTTACTGGAGAACAGATGGAAGGAGTATTTTTTTTTTATATACTTTTAAAAATTAACTTGACTTTTAGTTTTTTTTTAAGAAAGGTTATATTAAGGATTCAGTATTATAAATTACATTGAAAAATGAAAAGACAACTAAAATGAAAAAAAAAATCTATAACTACAAGTAAAAATAAACATAAGGAAATGTATCATAACTTTAAAAACTTTGAAATCGTTTTTTTTTTGTGAGAATGGAAATTTTTTTGATAATTTATGCAATTACATATCTTTTAATGTATACATAATTGTATGATATACAGTAAAACCTTTATAAAATAATACTCGATAAAATAATAAACACTACTCACTCTGTTTCTAAAAACTTGATGTTTTAGAAATTTCACAAATATTAAGAAATAATTAATGCTGGTTAAAAGTGCATCACTTTCTCTTTCATTCACTACCTTTTATAAATATAAACTAATAAAAATTCAAAAGCATTCTTGAAAATCACAATTAAATAACATTCACTAATAAAATATTTAAGAAAGCTAGAAAATCAAGTTTTGTGGAACAAAAAAAGTTTCTCAAACATCAAGTTTTTAGAAACAGAGAGAGTATAAGATAAAAAATTTCTCCAGTCCCAACTCGGGCCAATGTAAAAAATAGCAAAATGCGATAAGATGATAAGATAATAATATTTTTGAAACTCCTACGTAAAAATATAGTCCCAACAATAAGCTAAAGTATTAATTATAAAACTTAGTGGTGGGTTTCAAGTATTTTTCTTGTATATGTAGATTATGAACCAAATTCACCCACACAATTATTTTCTGATATTATGATGTTTTTAAAAAAGATTGTTCTAGATCGATTTTTTTAGGTTTTTTATTAGTAAGTATAATTTATTTGTGAACTTCAAAGATATTTAATGTAACAGTTTGAGTTGT